TTGTGGCTGATATTTTAGGTCCTGTAATAGCGTAGTCTGAGTAGAGATGGGGAAGAAATTGGCACCTGGGCTTGTTTCAGAGGTTTGTCCCTGTATTTGCATCTATGTTAGGTATTGTCTTGCTGCTGCCGTACATGGAGTCAAACCGTTGGTTCATCTCAATGTTGTCAACACTGACTCTCCCCACCCCAGAGTGGCTCTCCAGGCTTTCAGGCAAGGATCTCTCCCAGCCGTATCTGGAGGTGCCAGGGATTCAACCCAGGGTTCTTCTGCGAGCCAAGCTGATATTCTGCCGCTGAGCTGTGGCCTTCCTCCGAGCCGATATTTGCCCCGTTCATCTCTGCCCATATTCTGCAGACAGCAGCAAGGAGCTTTACAACATACTGTTCCGGAATTGCTTTATCGGACTAGTAATACATTTTATTAAACACACCCAGATGGCACTCACAAGCGAGCTTTCCATCACAGATGCTGAAAATAGCACGTTGGCATAAATGTTTCTGGGTGGAATGGTAATGAAATGCTCATATGTCAACAGTAGGTTTGAGATCCTGCTATAGGTTATTTCCTGGTGCCAGTCAATCTGAAGTTTCTTCTCTTCATCACTGTGGTGGCAGTAGCTCTCAACATGTAAAAAAAAAAAAGGCTTTTCCTGGGGGCTCGCTCTGCAATCTGCTACAGATGGCTTGGGCACCTTGCCAAACCTCTTATTCTTCCTGCCATCATCTTGGAATGTGTGTTTGATAAAACCAGGGAAGAGAAGTGGATTCTGAGCTCACCTGAACTGAGTAGCTTCGACTGGAACTGAACCGTCCAGGCCAGATCCCTTTCCCCCACTTTCCCCCACTGCTTGTGTTTATACATCAACACAACTTGGCATCCTTTGCGCCTAAGAATGTGGGCACAGGTGGTGCCAAAGATTTTGCTCAGAGCAAACCCGAGAGAATATTGTTTTGACTGAGAGAGAAAGGTGCAAATCCAAGCCTTAGCACTTCCCACTCGGAGCTGACATAAGAAATGTTCAGGCTAGAGAGTAACGCTCATGACTCGAGCTTTCCCTTCTTACACCATCCTTCATCCCACCACAATTAGGGTGTAACACCTTCTGAGGATGCTGAGTCCTACAGCCACATGAAAGAGGCATTCACCCATAGGTACCAAACTGGCAATCTTAATTCCGGCTAGGGATTCATCCAGCCCAGCCTTTCGCATGATGAATTCTGCATATAAATTAAATAAGCAGGGAGACAAAATACAGCCTTGTCGTACTCCTTTCCCAATTTTGAACCAATCAGTTGTTCCATATCCAGTTCTAACTGTAGCTTCTTGTCCCACATAGAGATTTCTCAGGAGACAGATGAGGTGATCAGGCACTCCCGTTTCTTTAAGAACTTGCCATAGTTTGCTGTGGTCGACACAGTCAAAGGCTTTTGCATAGTCAATGAAGCCGAAGTAGATGTCTTTCTAGCTTTCTCCATAATCCAGCGCATGTTTGCAATTTGGTCTCTGGTTCCTCTGCCCCTTCTAAATCCAGCTTGCACTTCTGGGAGTTCTCGATCCACATACTGCTTAAGCCTGCCTTGTAGAATTTTAAGCGTAACCTTGCTAGCGTGTGAAATGAGTGCAATTGTGCGGTAGTTGGAGCATTCTTTGGCACTGCCCTTCTTTGGGACTGGGATGTAGACTGATCTTCTCCAATCCTCTGGCCACTGCTGAGTTTTCCAAACTTGCTGGCATATTGAGTGTAGCACCTTAACAGCATCTATCGTATCGTAAAAGGGGTTTGTTGTTGTTTAGTCGTGTGGAGTTGAATAAATCCTCTCCATGTGCTAAGATCCCCTCTAAGCTTAATTGCACAGTGGGGCATTTTTAGTAAGGAGAGAAGGGGAGAAAATCTAGGGGGAAGAAAAAGGAAGTGGCAGAAAGCATTGTGAGAATTCTGGCTCCTCCTTCTTAGCTTAACATCTTCCCACGACACTCTCCAGCCACATTCATCCTTGGTATCCAGGACCCAAGGGGATGTTCCCCATCCGATGCTCTGTTTCGCTCTCATGAAAGACGGAGACCCAGCAGAGTGCCCAACTTAATAATAATAGTAGTAGTAATAATAATAATAATAATAATAATAATTTTGCAAATAAATAAAGGTGCTTCATTGGAAAGAAGTTACAAAGAAGCATATGCTCAAACCAGAAGAAGTATATACAGTGGTACCTCAGGTTAAGTACTTAATTCGTTCCGGAGGTCCGTACTTAACCTGAAACCGTTCTTAACCTGAAGCACCACTTTAGCTAATGGGGCCTCCTGCTGCTGCTGCCGCACCGCCGGAGCACGATTTCTGTTCTCATCCTGAAGCCAAGTTCTTAACCTGAAGCACTATTTCTGGGTTAGCAGAGTCTGCAACCTGAAGCGTATGTAACCCGAGGTACCACTGTAATTTATTATTTATACCCCGCCCATCTGGCTGGGCTTCCCCAGCCACTCTGGGCGGCTTCCAAAAAAAATTAAAATACTCCAATACATCAAACATTAAAAGCTTCCCTAAAGAGGGCTGCCTTCAGATGTCTTCTAAAAGTCTGGTAGTTGTTGTTCTCTTTGACATCTGGTTTGACAGCTTGCCCTTAGGTACACAGGGATCCCGTTGGGAGATCTTGCTCCTGACCTCGAGGCTCACGTGCCGGTCGGGTGTCTCCCACAGAGAACCTTTTTGGATTCTATTTTTTTTTAAAAAAAATAATTTTTATTGCATTTTTTCAGACATGGACAGAAGAAAAGGAAAAAAGACAAAAAGACAAAAAAAGATAAAAAGAATCATAACCCTTCAACAGCTTATTTCAACTTTCTATCGAACTTCCCCGCATCTCCCACACAATGCATTCTTAACAATAAATTTATCAGCAAATTGTACCCTTGTTTCATGTGTTTCTTTGTACTTTCAGTTGCAATTTAAGTTTAATCCCTTATTGTCCAATTACTCTGAAAACATTCCATATTAACATTTTTAACATTTAAACTTGCTTCTTTCAATGGTGTTATCCAATTTCATAGATATTGCACTCTCATTGCTGGGGCTAGTATTTCAAATTTTGCGTCATTTTATAGTTCATATAACTTGTAATATTTTTGCAAATAGTTCTTAAATTTTTTCCAGTCCTCCTCCAAAGCTTCTTCTCCCAGGTCTCGGATTCTGGCGGTCATTTCGGCCAACTCCATGTAGTCAATCAGTTGCGTTTGCCACTCTTCCAGCGTGGGCAGATCTTGAGTCTTCCAATATTTGGCAATCAGGATTCTTGCTGCTGTAGCTGCATACATAAAAAACGTTCTATCCTTTTTTAACACCTTTTGGCCGACAATACCCAAGAGGAAGGCCTCCGGTTTTTTAGGAAAGGTGTACTTAAACACCTTTTTTAACTCATTATAAATCATTTCCTAACCTTTTTGGATTCTAAAGGCAGCGTTCCAGCCATGTTCAAATGTGATCCTCGAAAACCACAGGCAGAATGTTACCCTGGCTCTGTTCAGAATCAGACGTGGGAATCTAGGCTAGTACGTGATCGGCATCACGTGTGCCTAACTTCATTTCCGGGCAAAGGTTTTAATTTGCATCCTTTTTGGTTTTCATCAGCAGAGTTTGCTGGTTCTCTTTTTCCTTTTTAAGGGACTGCTGGAACCTGGTTGCTGAGGGAAAGGTTTTTGCAGTGGCTCAAGGGAAACGCACAGACGGCTACTTGCCATGTGATCTAACATGTGGGTTATGCACTGTAGCACCGTAAGATCTCGTTTTATCTGCCCAGCCTCCTCCCGTGGGGTTTTCTCAGTTTCCATAAAAGACCTTTTATGTATTTAGAGCTATGATCTGCCAACGTGTCAGATGCAAGTAGATTCTGTGTCCGTGGGGAACAGGAAACTGAGGGTGTGTCTGCTGTTATCTCTCCCCGCTGCCATATCTGTGTTTCTCCCTGAGAGGAGGAGCACCACCGCTTGTGGGATTTTCAGAAGAATCTGATTAAGAGACAGTAGATTGCGCTGAGTAATTCTAATCGTAAAAGTATTGAATAGGTTATTGCTAAGGTGGCTGTTCTTGTTTCATAGAAGCTTAGGTTGTTGTGGATTCTGCTTGTGTGTATACACACAGGGATAGCTTAACGTGCTAAAACCTCCAGATGTTTTGGACTACAAGTCCCATCAACCTCAGCCAGCAGGCTCATGGGAGTTGTAGTCCGGCAACAAAGGGAGGGCACTGTGCTGGCTATCCCTGTGGTACTGCAGTCTCCCCCAAATCTGGTGCCCCCTGATTCCTTGGAATACAACTCCCCTCCTTCCCAGCCAACATGGCTGTGCTGGCAGAGGTTGATGGGAGTTGTAGTCCAATGCGTCAGAAAGGATGCTGTAAGCATAAGCTTTCTCGTTTTATTTATTTATTTTTACATTTTTTATTGAACAAGCAGAGTCTTAAAATACATGCAATACCAGCAAACAAACATAGAAATTATTGAGGGTATACATACAAAAGAACAAAAAGAAAGCAAAAAAAGAAAAGGGGGGGGGGAGAAAAGAAAAAAGAAAAGAAAGAAGAATAAAATTATGAATAGAGTAAAAAAACATAGTAATATCTCATATATTTCAGTCCACAAAGAAAAGAAACTTCCGACTATACCCATGGTACTAATTTTCAAATAAGCTATTATTTACACAGTTACACAACGTTGTTTTTTTGTTAATTTAACTTTATCTAACATGTACTTTGTATTACAAGGCTCATTCAATATCTGCCAGAAAACTTTTACTATTGCAGTACCCTTTAAGTAAGCATTCTCATTTTACACCCGCCCTTGTGCTGGCAGCCTATCAAATTAAATATAAGGAAGATACCGACTTTTCCCATTGGTCTGGCTAGCCCTGTACTGGCCAACTAGTGGACTAGTATCCCATTCTGAAATGGCACATTTCCCCTTGAAACCAAATAGCCGATGTCTCTTCCCTTCTCTTTTACTGCACAGGTCGGGGACCACAAATTCAGCGCCCACCGGATTGTCTTGGCGGCCTCCATCCCTTACTTCCACGCCATGTTTACAAACGACATGATGGAGTGCAAGCAAGATGAAATTGTCATGCAGGGCATGGATCCAAGGTAATCCATGGGGAGTTCCTTTCGGGGGTGCAGCAGCTTAGAAACACTGAAAAAGTGAACTTACCCTTCCCAGTTGTGGAAAAAGGTCACCCCCGAAATGAAAAATCGGAATCTCCATTTACTTCTCAATGAAAATGACTTCAAGAACTTGTCAGAAATATTGAAACCTTACCAAAAAAAAATTAAAAAAATAAATCATTGCGGGTACAGTCATACCTCGGGTTGAATGTGCTTCGGGATGAGCGCGTTTGAGTTGTGCTCCACGGTAACCCGGAAGTAACAGAGCGCGTTACTTCCGGGTTTCGCCACTTGCGCATGCGCAGACGCTCAAAATGACGTCATGCGCAGAAGCGCCGAAACGTGACCCGCGCACATGCAGATACGTGGACACGGGTTACGTTTGCTTCTAGAGGTACCACTGTATCGGAGAATCGCTCGAAGCAGGAGCCATCCTTGCTCCAGATACCAAGAAATAATCAGCGCTCAGAACACGCAATCAAAGCGATGTGGGAACTTTATGGTGGTTGTAACCAAGACAAACCACAACCTCCATTTATTCTAAACAGTAAGAAGTGATATACAGAGTACAGTGGTACTCTGCCTCGCAAGACAAAAAACTCGCTAGACGAAAGGGTTTTTGGTTTTTTGAGCTGCTTCGCAAGACGATTTTCCCTATGGGCTTGCTTCGCAAGACGGAAATGTCTTGCAAGTTTGTTTCCTTTTTCTTAACACCGTTAATACAGTTGCGACTTGACTTCGAGGAGCAACTCATAGAACGCGGTGTCGTAGCCTTTTTTGAGGTTTTTTAAGACTTTGGTGATTTTTGAAGCTTTTCCAAAACTTTCCCGACACCGTGCTTCGCAAGACGAAAAAATCGCAAGACGACAAAACTCGCGGAACGAATTAATTTCATCTTGCGAGGCACCACTGTACAAAACATTGCATAATTACAGTGCTACCTTGGGTTAAGGACTTAATTCGTTCCAGAGGTCCGTTCTTAACCTGAAACTGTTCTTAACCTGAAGCACCACTTTAGCTAATAGGGCCTCCTGCTGCCGCCGCGCCGCCACAGCACGATTTCTGTTCTCATCCTGAAGCAAAGTTCTTAACCCGAGGTAATATTTCTGGGTTAGCGGAGTCTGTAACCTGAAGCGTATGTAACCCGAGGTACCACTGTACTAGAAAATTTGTAACCTCTGGTTTTCCTGCATTATAATCCATAATTATAATCATTACATAATTCATTATACAGTTACATATACAAAAAAATGTTTTATTGATTTTGGGGTGAGTTTTTCTCCCCAAAACATTTGGAAACAGCAGTTCGTTCCTTTGCTTTTAGGCAAAAGTTCATCTAACTAAGCTACAGGAGCATGAGGTTGTAAAGTTGTTATAACCTTAGTACGTCCCAGTTGCTGTTTTCCAGCTTATCTCTGCAATTCCAAGGACCAGAAGCGCAATGTTCTTGTTGCTGTTGAAGGCCTGGAATCCTTGGAATCTGACAAGGGCCTATCAATCAACACAGACCTTGCCCGGGGTTGAACGTTGCTGCCCCTCCCCACCGACCCTCACTCAAACACACACACACACACACACACGTTTTGAAGTGGCTTATAAAGTCATGTGTGTGTTTACTAACATCTCATGCTTTCCCATTCTTCTCTGCCCCGTTTAGCGCACTGGAAGCTCTGATCAACTTCGCCTACAACGGGCACTTGGCAATCGACCAGCAGAACGTCCAGTCCTTGCTGATGGGGGCAAGTTTCCTGCAACTGCAAAACATCAAGGATGCCTGCTGCTCATTCCTCAGAGAGAGGTGAGGGGGCTGGTTCCAGAGAATTTCGCTGCTATGACGCTGGGTGTGCTTTTTATTTTATTTTATTTTCAATTTTTTTATTGATTTTAACAGATAGAACATATAAAACATACAAAAGGAAGCACACTACAATACTACACAACAAAAGAAAAGAAAAAACAGAAATAAAACCACATATTCTTTCTAAAGTTCATTTTAAATTTCATTATTAACTGACTTCCTCGGATCCCCTCTAACTGAATTTCATTATATCTTTTTTTATAATAATTTTTATTAATTTTAACATATAAATTATAATGCATACCACAAAACTTCACCACTTATACAATCTTTTTTTGGACTTCCATCAGCACCTCTGATGATCCACCGTTTTAACCACTTCTTATGCATTTCTTAAATTCATATTGCCTTTAATTATTCTTAACTAACCATCCTCCCCTTTATCTATTTTTGCAGTAGTTCCAATAATTCACCTCACAGAACTTCTTACAATGAATTTCATTATATCGCCTTGTAACAGTTCTCCAAAATCATCTTTTTACTACAGTTAACTCCTTCAATCTACTATCTTCATCTCTTTTCTTACTGACTTAGATCCATATTAATATACAACATCCTTATTCTAATCCTAGGCCTATTTGGTACTTTCAAGTATTTTCTGCTTATCTTATATTACAATATTTAGCTAAATCATCTTTAAATTTCTTCCAATCTTCTTGGTATTCCTCTTCTTCCTGATCGTGGATTCTTCCAGTCAGGTCTGCCAGCTCCAAAAACTCCAACATCTTCATCTGCCATTCTTCTACCGTTGGTATTTCTTGAGATTTCCTTGACGCAGGGGGTGCTTTGTGTGACTGTGTCCCTTATCCCAAGGCGGAATCGTAGGCGCATCAAGATTGCAGAGATTCCGTCCGGCCTCTGCAATCCAGACCGTGTGGCATGCTACAAAGCAGGAAGTGTGTGCAACGTAGAGATAACTCCAGATACGGAAGTGAGGCAAAATCTTCCTTGCACAGACACACACCAGGGAAAACCCGGCCGGCAGCTAGCATTTCCGGGGGCCCGCTTTGAGAAGAGCGCAAAACGGTGGTCCACCACCTCAGTTGCCATTTCCTGAAGGCAAAATCTGTTGCTGCAGCAGATACTGCCACTGTACCAGCCCCCAGGCACGGAAGAGGTGGTCTAGGGGCCTGGGTGGTCTTCCCCCCTCCCAACCCCTAAGACAGGCATAGGCAAACTCGGCCCTCCAGATGTTTTTGGGACTACAATTCCCATCATCCCTGACCACTGGTCCTGTTAGCTAGGGATGATGGGAGTTGTAGTCTCAAAAAAATCTGGAAGGCCGAGTTTGCCTATACCTGCCCTAAGAAGTCTGTTGAAGGCATGGCAGTGGGGATTTAAAGATGTCTCCTATTTCAAAGCCTTCCCCCCCAAGTTAACTTGAGTTGAGTCAGGAAAACTTAAGAATACTTCGTTCGAGAGAAGCACAGAGCCAGCTTAATACAAAGTTATACATTTCTGTATAATAATAATAATAATAATAATAATAATTTATTTATATCCCGCCCTCCCTAGCCAAAGCCGGGCTCAGAGCGGCTAACAACAGTAAAAATAGCACAGTTTACATAAATTCACAGTCAATTAATTGAAATCAGTTCAGAATCAAATTAATGGCAACCATTGGGCTAGAGTTCTATGAAGATTACAGAAGGAGAGAGGGGGTCAGACTGTGCCTTGGACAAAGGCCTGGGGAACAGCTCTGTCTTGCAGGCCCTGCGGAAAGATGTCAAGTCCCGCAGGACCCTAGTCTCTTGGGACAGAGCGTTCCACCAGATTGGGGCCACGGCCGAAAAAGGCCCTGGCTCTGGTTGAGGCCAACCTAACCTCCCTGTGGCCCGGGATCCCCAAGATGTTTTTGTTTGAAGACCATAAGGTCCTCCGTGGATATACCAGGAGAGGCGGTCCCTTAGGTACGAGGGTCCTGGGCCGTATAGGACTTTAAAGGTTAAAACCAGCACCTTAAACCTGATCCTGTACTCCACTGGGAGCCAGTGCAGCAGGGAGAAAAGGCAGGTTATAAATACATATATATAAATAATAATGATGATATATTTAAAGCTCGATGAGACTCAGCTCTTCTTATAAGTTGTTAGAATTGTCCTGTGGCAGCACCTTTGGATAGGTGCCCCATTGGGGTGAGCCGAGGAGGCTACTGGAAGATGGTTTCTCATGATCAAGTCCAAACAGTTGAGCTGCCTGGAAATCTCTCTTCACCATTTTGGAACTCCCCCTCCCTTTTTTTTACAGAAAAGACCCCGGCTCAGGGGCTGACCAACCTTGGAACTAATAATAATAATAATAATAATAAATTAATTAATTAATATTTATACCCTGCCCACCTGGCTGGGTTTCCCCAGCCACTCTGGGCAGCTTCCAGCAGAATATTAAAATACAGTGATTCATCAAACATTAAAAGCTTCCCTGAACAGGGCTGCCTTCAGATGTCTTTTAAAGAGAAGATAGCTGCTTCTTTCCTTCACATCTGAAGGGAGGGCGTTCCACAGGGCGGGCACCACTACTGAGAAGGCTCTCTGCCTGCTTCCCTGTAACTTCACTTCCCATAGTGAGGGAACCACGAGAAGGCTGTCGGAGCTGGACCTCAGTGTCTGGGCAGAATAACAATAATAATAAATAATAATAATAATAATTTATATACCACCATTTATCAAAACATCCCAGGGTGGTGGGAGCTTTGTTGCATCTTAAAGACGAACTAATTTATTGTGGCATGGCAGTCTTGGACGACTTCACCAGAACTATGAAATGCTAATAAGTAGAACCAAGTGTAAAGGAACGTGGGTGGCGCTGTGGGTTAAACCAGAGAGCCTAGGACTTTTCGATCAGAAGGATGGCGGTTCGAATCCCTGTGACGGCGTGAGCTCCCGTTGCTCGGTCCCAGCTCCTGCCAACCTAGCAGTTTGAAAGCACGTCAAAGTGCAAGTAGATAAATAGGTACCACTCTGGCGGGAAGGTAAACGGCGTTTCCATGCGCTGCTCTGGTTCGCCAGAAGCAGCTTAGTCATGCTGGCCACATGACCAGGAAGCTGTACGCCGGCTCCCTGGGCCAATAAAGCAAGATGAGCGCCGCAACCCCAGAGTCGGCAATGACTGGACCTAATGGTCAGGGGTCCCTTTACCTTTACCTAGAACCAAGTGTAGCTTACTCACTCTAAAAAATATTTGGTGGCCAGGCTTACAGAGACGAATCCCTTTAACAACCTATTTGATCTCTTCCCCTTTACTTATTTTTAAATACTGATGATTCCTTTGCGGTGTTGCCTGGATGGCTTTAAAAGAGGATGAGACAAATTCACAGAGGATAAGGCTTTCTGTGGCTACTAGCCTTGATGACTGCGGTTAGAATCAGAACGAGCCACGATCAGGAGAATACTATTTCAAAAAGCAGGCGCCAAACAAAAGCCAAACCCTTAATTTGTCCACCAAATGCAGTCCTCCGTAGTAGCATTGCTCCTGGAATCTTTGGTGCCGTGTCCCAAAAGAGTGCATTTGTGGACAGGTTAAACAGCCAGGGTCCTTGATGCAGAAAGTGGAGGCTGCCTTCCTCCCTTGTAGGTTGTTCCCTTTCCCTGTAGAGGACGTTGCCTTCTTCTCAAGTTCATAGTAAGGCGCAGTAAAGGCAGGGGCCCTATCCACTTCCTTGTCCATTTGCGTCTAGGGCAGGGGTCTGCAACCTGCGGCTCCGGAGCCGCATGTGGCTCTTTTACACCTTTGCTGCGGCTCTGGGGCGGATACTAGCGAGGGGAGGAGGCGCATTGTGCGCCCTGACACTCCCCACTGTGGCGGGCGCTGTACTGGCTGTGACGTCGCATGGGGGCGGTGCGTGCGTTAGTCACGCACCGTCCCGACATCACCTTCCCGCCCGCTGTCAGATCGCGGCTCCGGAGATATATTTGTTTTAAATGTCGCAATGGTTTTGCGGCTCCCAGTTTTTTTTCTCCTTCGGAAACGGGTCCAAGTGGCTCTTTTTGTCTTAAAGGTTGCAGACCCCTGGTCTAGGGCAAAGGTAGAGTGACCTAGAAGAGGAAATTGCTGAGCAGTCTGGCTTTATAGCTTTCGGACCGGTTTCACTGGAGAGAATGCCTGGCCGAAGCTTCTGTGGAATGCTGCCCTGTAACTTGGGCTGGGTTAAAAGACATGCACACTTGTTGTCGGTTCATCAGAAAAGGAGAATTTGAAATATCTGTGGCCTGCCAAGAAGCCATTCTCTTCCCCCCTCCCTTCCACTCATACGATTGGAGTTAAGCCACATCGTTGACGTGCCTCTAGTTAAAGTGTCAAGAGGACCAGGTGGGTCTGCAGCCAGCTGGGCTGTTCCGCTGCTACCCGTATTGCTTGATTTCTTTCTCCCTCTCCCTGATGCAATTGTAAATAAGTGCTTCAACAGAAGAAAGGATTGTCAATTTGCTTCATGTCAAAGCCTGCTTTGGGTAATCTTTTAGACAGGGTGAAGAGGAACCTTCTTTCCGTTGGCCGGGAGGTGGGGGCTGTAGCTAGCCATGGTCATAGACAGATTCCAGGTGTCAAATCAAAGAGCCAATTGCCGTATTTTTCGCTCTATAGGACGCACCTGACCGTAGGAGGCACCTGACCGTAGGCCGCACCTAGTTTTAGAGGGGGAGAACAGGAAAAAATAAATCTCCCTCTCTCTGCTCAGCGCCCTTTCAGCGAAGCGGCAGGAGAAATGGAGCCCCTTCCATTTCTCCTCCCGCTTCGCAGAAGGGGCGCTGCACAGAGAGGGAAAGCTGTGCAGCGCCTCTCCAGCAAAGCGAAGCCAGGAGAGCAAGACTCTCCTGGCTTCAGGTGGCTATCCCTGAAGCCAGGAGAGTCTTGCTCACCTGGCTTCAGCGAAAGAAACCCAAAGCCTCCGAAGGCTTCAGGCGGCTATACCTGAAGCCTGGAGAGCGAGAGGGGTTGGTGCGCACCGACCCCTCTCACTCTCCAGGCTTCAGCGAAAGCAACGCGAAGCCTATGGAGCGCGGCGGGAGCACTCCCACTGCACTTCGGAGGCTTTGCGTTGCTATCGCTGAAGCCATGGACCCTGCATTCGCTCCATAAGACACACACACATTTCCCCTTAATTTTTGGAGGGGGGAAAGTACGTCTTATGGTGCGAAAAATACGGTATATAGATTTGCAGAAAAGAAAAGGAAAAAACCGGTGGCTTTGCCAGTATAAGATATGCACACACTGGGCCAAAAATGTTTCCCCTGAAAGAGACGAAAACCTCAGGTAAAAGCAGGCTGCTAAGTAGGGATTTTATTTATTTTATTTTATTTACCATACTTTCCCATCTATAAGACACCCCCTATTTTGTTGTTGTTGTTGTTTAGTCATGTCTGACTCTTCGTGACCCCATGGACCAGAGCACACCAGGCACCGGAACACACCCCAGGGTCAGCATGGCTGTGTGACTGTGTGAAGCAGGGTTTCCCAAACTTTGCTGGTTTTGGACCACAATTCCCATCATCCCTGACCGCTGGTCCTGCTAGCTAGGGATGATGGGAGTTGTAGTCCAAAAACAGCTGGAGACACCGGATTTGGAAAATCCCGTTCTAGAGGGTGACAGGGTGTTCGGGGACTGGCTTTTGCGTAGGTCAGAGACTTTCTTAGCTGTTCAACTCTCCCATATTCATCTGCACCATCCTTAAAGGCTTCACCCAAAAAACTGCCTGGGCGTGCGCCAGTTTGCCGAAACTATGATGTGTGCCGTACTCTACGATGCTGCCAACAGCTTCATCCACCAGCACTTTGTGGAGGTTTCTGTGTGCGAAGAGTTCCTGGCCTTGCCCTTGGAAGACGTCCTGGAGCTGGTCTCGAGGGATGAGCTCAACGTTAAGTTAGAGGAGCAGGTAGGTGCCTCCGAGGTCCCAAGGTGCGTTGGTTGCTCATCGCAAGGTTTGCCTTCCACCTTTCTGCTTGAAAGCCAAAAGAGCTCGTGACAGCTAGCAGGTTAAAATAAAGGCCAGTTACAGTACAGGACAAGCGTAAAGAAAACCAGCACCGTAGTTGCAAAGTGGTAACAAGGAAGGGGGCAAGCAAAACCACCCAGTCGCAGGCCGAAAGCCTCTCAATGGCAAAAAGTATTCAAGAGATAGCAGGAAGCAAGTGAAAGGGTGAGTTCCACACACCCTTCCCTTGAGAGCTGCAATAGAAAAGGTTTATCTTATTTCCGGGGGGCGCGGGTGGCGCTGTGGTCCAAACCACAGAGCCTAGGGCTTGCTGATTGGAAGGTCAGCGGTTTGAATCCCCGCGACGGGGTGAGCCCCCGTTGCTCAGTCCCTGCTCCTGCCCACCTAGCAGCTCAAAAGCACGCCAGTGCAAGTAGATAAATAGGTACCGCTCCGGCGGGAAGGTAAACGGGGTTTCCGTGCGCTGCTCTGGTTCGCCAGAAGCGGCTTAGTCATGCTGGACCCGGAAGCTGTACGCCGGCTCCCAATTAAGTGAGATGAGCGCCACAACCCCAGAGTCATCCGCAACTGGACCTAACGGTCAGGGGTCCCTTTACCTTTATCTTATTTCCACTGATGGTAACTTCAGACGACCACCCTGCCAGCTTCCTAGGTCCAAGTGCAGAGAACCTTCTTGTGCGGGAAGAAAAGGCCAGGTCATCTCGGTGGCCAACCAAATATCGCTTGGTGGCTCCCTCTGTGGTGTGGCCTCCCCGGCATCACTTGCCACACACCATCATCAGATAAAATGCCACCCTTTTATCTATGTCGCTCTTTGGCATGGTGCTTTTGATGACCGCAAGCTGACCTTAGCGCTGCAAATCTTGAAGGAGTGTAAGTTGAGTGATCCTTCTGCCCATAAATCATGGGCTCAACCGCTGATCTCCGCGCTAAGGCAGCTGAGAATTATTTGTGTCTCAAGAGTGGGCTTGTCGAAGGGCTATCCTAGCGAGGACAGATGTTTTTATGGGGGTAGATTATCGGGGGGAAGTGGGTGCGGCAGCCACAGAGGAAGTGCCTAGATAAGTCGTTGATGTAAGTGGAGGAATTTAGAGCGGTTGTGGGAGCCCAGGGGCAAGTTAACCCTAGGGGTTAACTTCCCGGCCTTCCCCTGCTTAAATGTATATTGTTAAAAGTCTTTGTGGCTTAGGGCACTCGTATCTACGGGACCGCCTCTCCTGGTCTGCCCCGCAGAGGACCTTAAGGTCCATAAATAACCATAGTTTAGAGGTCCCGGGCCCTAAGGAACCTCCACCAGGGCCAGGGCCTTTTCAGTGATGGCTCTGACCTGGTGGAATGCTCTGTCCCAGGAGACTAGGGCCCTTCAGGATTTAATCTCCTTCCGTCGGGCCTGTAAAACAGAGCTATTCCGCCTGGCCTTTAATTTGAACTCAGCCTGATCTTTTATTTCCCTTCTCTTCCCTCCCCGTCCCCTTTTATGAAGATCACCTGGTCTGAGACTCCACAGCTAATTCTCCCCTGGTCTCCTCACTGGCCCAAGTAGGACCAAATCAGCCAGCTAGCTCTGGGGATTATCTAATTTTATTGTAATGCATGTTTTTATACTGTAGTTTATGCTGTTTTTATAATTAAGTGTTTTAAAGTATTTTAAATTTGTTGTTAGCTGCCCTGAGCCCGGTTTTTGAACCGGCAAGGGCGGGGTATAAATAAAAATTTATTATTATAAAGGTACAGGTTTTTGTAGCACATCATTCCAAGCCCTTGAGTTCGGTGTTAGAAACTCGATTATATAAGATAATCGCTAAATGGCACCTTAAACCTTGGTTATGGTTGCCACAGTGGTCTGTCGAGGCACTATTCTCCCCCCCCCCCCCAGTTGTGGGGTTTATTGTTCTTGTTAATTTTATTTCTCTGCGGCTTTAGGTTTTAAAGAGAATACCTCAAAGTGGTTTACAACACATGAAAATAAAAACAAAACATCAGATGCAATAATCCAGAATAAAACAAAGTCAAGCTTCAATGAAAACATTGCAGGTCCTTCTCTTAAGTGAGATTTTGCTTCCTCCATATTTATTTGCCGACTTAATTTCCAGAGCTGCCCCACAGCAGAAGTTCTCTAGGGAGCCAGTGTGGTGAAATGGTCAGAGCGTCGGACTAGGACCTGGGAGATCAGGGTTCAAATCCCCACTCAGTCGTGAAGCTCCCTGGGTGACCTTGGAGTCAGTCGCAGCAACCTCACAGAGTTGTTGTAGGGATTAAGGGGGGGGCTGAGCCATGGACTCAATGGAGAAAAGGGTGGGATATAAATGCAATGGGATGTGGCTGGGGCTGTGGTCTAAACCACAGAGCCTAGGGCTTGCTGATCAGAAGGTCGGTGGTTCGAATCCTCAAGACAGGGTGAGCTCCCGTTGTTCAGTCCCTGCTCCTGCCAACCTAGCAGTTCAAAAGCATGTCCAAGTACAAGTAGATAAATAAGTACTGCTCTGGCGGGAAGGTAAACGGCATTTCTGTGCGCTGCTCTGGTTCGCCAGAAGCGGCTTAGTCATGCTGGCCACATGACCTCGAAGCTGTACGCCGGCTCCCTCGGCCAATAAAGCGAGATGAGCGCCGCAATCCCAGAGTCGTCCACGACTGGACCTAACGGTCAGGGGTCCCTTCACCTTTACTATAAATGCAATAAATAAGATCTTCAGTTTACCTGCTTAAGAAATTAGAGAGGCCAGCCAGGGGGAGATGTCAGTCGGCAATCTGGCACCCAGAGATCTCTCATGTGGTCGCAATGGACTCCCACGCCAGTCGCGAAACATGCCTGGCGCCTAGATAATTTCTAACACTGCCTAAGTGTAAGCTGGGTTTCAAGCCTGAATGAGTGTCGGCGCTTCAAGAGGACTGATGCTTTCATCTCTTCCAGAGTTTCCTAAAACAGAGCATCATAACCTGGAAACATCCTGGGTAGCCTTTTTTAAAAATATCTCCCTCTCTGCTTCCAACAGGTCTTTGAAGCCGCTCTGGCCTGGGTGAGGTACGACCGCGAGCATCGAGAGCCCTTCTTGCCGGAGCTCCTCTCCAAAATCCGCCTGCCTCTTTGCCGACCCCAGTTCCTTGCGGACCGCGTCCAGCAGGACGACCTCGTCCGCTGTTGCCACAAGTGCAGGTGAGTATGCGAGGCTGAGCTGCCTGCAGTAGTTCTGGGAGGGGAATCACAACGAGGAAGCACATAGGACAGTAACAGGCGCATAGCCCCAAACTCAGAATCCCTTTTTCACCATGCAGGAAAAGAGAGAGAGAGTTTTCCTCCAGGTGACCCGGCCAGGTCAGATTGTAGAAGCACAATGTCCTCCTCTCTCTTGTGTCTCCTCTGTCCCTTAAGCTCAGGGAAGGCAATGGGCTATGTGAGTTTTGTGTCATCCAGTACAGTGGTACCTCAGGTTAAGTACTTAATTCGTTCCGGAGGTCCGTTCTTAACCTGAAACTGTTCTTAACCTGAAGCACCCCTTTAGCTAATGGGGCCTCCGGAGAAGCGCTCTGCTGCGCTGTGCGCGTACAGAAGCGGTCCTCCGGTTACGAAATTTTCAGGTTATTTCAGGTTTCAGGTTATGGCCGGGCCTCCGGAACAGATCCCATTCGTAACCAGAGATACCACTGTACAGTGGTACCTCGCAAGACGAATGCCTCGCAAGACAAAAAACTCGCTAGACGAAAGGGTTTTTTGTTTATTGAGCTGCTTTGCAAGACGATTTTCCCTATGGGCTTGCTTCGCAAGACGGAAACCTCTTGCAAGTTTGTTTCCTTTTTCTTAACACCGTTAATACAGTCGCGACTTGACTTCGAGGAGCAACTCATAGAACGCGGTGCGGTAGCCTTTTTTGAGGTTTTTAAAGACTTTGGTGATTTTTGAAGCTTTTCCAAAACTTTCCCAACACTGTGCTTCGCAAGACGAAAAATATCGCAAGACGACAAAACTCGCGGAACGAATTAATTTCGTCTTGCGAGGCACCACTGTATATCATTTCCCATTTGGATTTCAGGGACCTCGTGGATGAAGCAAAGGATTACCACCTCATGCCAGAGCGACGGCCGCACCTCCCGTCTTTCAAAACCCGCCCCCGTTGCTGCACCTCCATCGCAGGCCTGATCTATGCCGTGGGAGGCCTCAACTCAGCAGGTATCTTTCAATTCTGTTGCTTGCCAGGGATGTATGCCTAGGAAGCACGTGGAATTGTAGAATTGGGACCCCGAGAGTCACCTAGTCCAACCTGTTTAGCTATTGGAAGATGGCTCTCTAAAGCAGCCTGTTCGGACCCTGTTTTATGCTGGCCTGTCATGACTCCCAGCCAAAGGGCAATGAGAATTGTAGTTTGGTGAATATGCCGCAGTGCTCCGACGCACTGAATTAAAGTCCTGTGCTGGCAAGGGGAGTTAAGAGCAAATCCTGAACCCATGGTATATCTGGGTTGGTCACCCGGTGATTTGAGTGTCACAATCCTGTTCTGATCCAAAAAGGAGATATGTTTGCATTGGCTTCCCTGATCTCTCTAGGTCGGGCATGGCCAAACTTGGCCCTCCAGCTGTTTTGGGACTACAACTCCCATCATCCCTAGCTAACAGGCCCAGTGGTCAGGGATGATGGGAATTATAGTCCCCAAACAGCTGGAGGGCCAAGTTTGGCCACGCCTGCCATAGGTCAAAAATCGGATAAAGCTGTGAAGCTCATGCAGCTCATCCTCCCTTTAAAAAAAAATTGTATGCCCAAAGTAAATCAAGCAGAGTTTGATCAAGACCAGTGGATTCCAATCTGGATTTCCAGCAATCCAAGAGTTGTTGTTTGGGGTCCTTATCCCTTCTTGCTTGCTCGGTGACAAGCTTCGTAAACCCTGGCAAATATGTCATCCCACGGTATCCTGCAAGGATCATTTGGGGTTCTAGCTGGGGCACGTAGTCGCAGCTGCACAGAGGAAGGTGAGCCCGGCAGCCGTTCACCATAAAATATGAAAAAGGCCTGCACTTTCTCTCTGACAGTGGTTTATCACACAGATAGTCTGAATCACTACAATTAGGTGCAATAAATGTGAAGCTGCTGCGCATGACTACCGTATTTTTCCGTGTATAAGACGACCCCATGTGTAAAGGGTAAAGGGACCCCTGACCATTAGGTCCAGTCATGGCCGACTCTGGGGTTGCAGCGCTCATCTCGCTTTATTGGCCGAGGGAGCCGGCGTACAGCTTCCGGGTCATGTGGCCAGCATGACTAAGCCGCTTCTGGCGAAACCAGACTAGCGCACGGAAACACCATTTACCTTCCTGCCAGAGCGGTACCTATTTATCTACTTGCACTTTGACGTGCTTTCGAACTGCTAGGTTGGCAGGAGCAGGGACCGAGCAACGGGAGCTCACCCCGTCGCAGGGATTCGAACCGCCGACCTTCTGATCTGCAAGTCCTAGGCTCTGTGGTTTAACCCAGAGCGCCACCCGGATCCCTTGCAACCCCATGTATAACACGACCCCTATTTTTTCTAACCCCAAAATGAAGAAATTAAGTTTTTTAGCTTTTGGGGAGGGCAGAAGAGGTCACTTCCACCAATCGCTCACCCACCTGCTCACAGCCACTGCCGATCGCACACCTCGCCGCAGCCACCAATCGTCTGCCCGCTCGCCGCCACCTGAACAATATAGCGGAACACGATGGCCAATAACAATGGCACCAAGCGCTATTTATAGACTAATACAAATAAGCAGAAATTACAAGCAAAGTCTCTAAATCTTCTTCGCCACTCGAGGTAGAATAATTCAAAAGCTCAATATATACATAATCCGTCACCAAATGTCGCCGGAACAGAGTTTCCGGATAATCAGTCTGTTTTGTTCAATGCTTCATCAGCCAATATTGATCAATTTTTCATCAGCCAGACTTGTAAGGATTAATATGAGAAGGATGCAGTTCAATTTCTTAACAAGCCAATCTTAGATAAAGGTAAAGGGACCCCTGACCATTAGGTCCAGTCGTGGCCGACTCTGGGGTTGTTGCGCTCATCTCGCTTTATTGGCCGAGGGAGCCGGCATACAGCTTCCGGGTCATGTGGCCAGCATGACTAAGCCGCTTCTGGCGAACCAGAGCAGCGCACGGAAACGCCGTTTACCTTCCCGCCGGAGTGGTACCTATTTATCTACTTGCACTGGCGTCCTTTCAAACTGCTAGGTTGGCAGGAGCTGGGACCGAGCAATGGGAGCTCAGTCCGTCGTGGGTATTCGAACCGCCGACCTTCTGATCGGCAGCCCAAGAGGCTCAGTGGTTTAACCCACAGCGCCACCCGCTTCCCACAAATACAAACGCTGTAGAAAAAATGCTGTGGATCAGTGCTCATATGATACCAACATATGAATGTGTTTTTTGGGTGGGGGGGAGCTCTTTTAAACATATTTTCCAGTTCATTGTAGATTATTTCCCCATACTCTTTTACCCTTTGACAAGTCCAGTGATGACCACTTTTTAAAACATGAGCAGCAAATTTCTATGCAGGCGACTCCCTGAACGTGGTGGAAGTCTTCGACCCCATTGCCAACCACTGGGAGAAGTGCCAGCCAATGACGACGGCCCGCAGCCGGGTGGGCGTCGCCGTGCTGAATGGTCTCTTGTACGCCATTGGTGGATACGACGGGCAGCTGAGGCTGAGCACCGTGGAAGTTTACAACCCAGAGACAGATTCCTGGTCCAAAGTGGGAAGCATGAACAGCAAACGAAGGTGAGTGAGGATAATAATAATAATAATAATAATAATAATAATAATAATAATAATAATAATAATAATAATTTATTTATACCCCGCCCATCTGGCTGGGTTTCCCCAGCCACTCTGGGCGACTTCCAACAGAACACTAAAATACAATAACCTATTAAACATTAAAAGCTTCCCTGAACAGGGCTGCCTTCAGATGTCTTCTAAAAGTCAGATAGTTGTTTATTTCCTTGACATCTGGTGGGAGGGCGTTCCACAGGGCGGGCGCCACTACCGAGAAGGCCCTCTGCCTGGTTCTCCGTAACTTGGCTTCTCACAGGGAGGGAACCGCCAGAAGGCCCTCAGAGCTGGACCTCAGTGTCCAGGCAGAACGATGGTGGTGGAGACGCTCCTTCAGGTATACAGGGCCAAGGCCGTTTAGGGCTTTAAAGGTCAGCACCAACACTTTGAATTGTGCCCGGATAGTAGGTGTTCACAGGTGGGAGGGAGGAAACGTTTAGGTCTCCACAAGATGAGATCAGAAACCCCCGTTTTTCAACAAAGGGGTTAATTTTAGATTCAAGATGGGAATCCTATGGCTCTCCGGGTCCTGCTGGACTGCAACTCCCATCATCCCTGACATTTGCCAGGGATGATGGGGGTTGGGATCCAGCAACATCCTCAGGTTCTCCGCGCCTGTTTTAGATGCTAGAGGCAGGGCCATGATATAGATTGCAGAGTCTTTCCAGCAGAAGCAGCTGGAAAGAGAGAAGAGGATTTATGGGATCTTTAAGAAATAATAATTTTGAATTGTGTGTCCTTGTTTTTCAATGTGATCCTTTTCCTGTATGTTTAGTGGTATTTGATGCATTGTGACTTGCCGTTGTTTTTATTATCGTTTAGTCATTCTTTATTGCAATTGTTAAATTGTTATTATTTGCTGATGCACAATTTTACTGTTTACTATTATATTCTAATGGATTACAGTGGAGCCGAACGTTCTGGCTCTCAAACAATTGCAAACTGAAAGTGATGGTTCTGGTTTTCAAACATTCTTTGGAAGCCAAACATCCGTCATGGCTTTCGATTGGCTGCAGGAATCTTCTTGGCTTCCAATTGGCTGCAGGAAGCTCCTGCAGCCAATCGGAAGCCGTGCCTTGGTTCCCAAACCATTTCGGGAGTCAAACGGACTCCCAGAATGGATTAAGTTCAGGAACCAAGGCTCCACAGTATTGAACATTGCTTTATTTGATATAAGTTGTTTATTTGAAAGTTACATTTTTATTATGACCTTTTTTTGTATCGGATCAGGTTGTTACTATGCATGTGATCTTTGCTGTCTATTTTGTTTTTTTTTGTTCAGCTGTTAAACCTCCTTTTGTGTAGCAATAGAGAAAGGCGGTATACAAATTAAAAGAAATGAAACAAAACGAAATCTCTGGTACTCTTGCACCACTTAGAAGAGAAGCAAACCTTTTACAAACATATATGTGCCCACATCTTCCTGTATCTGTGTTAGGAAAATTCTCTGGGGGAATGTCAAGCTGGATTCCTTAGTTTAAATTGGAGCCCTCGAGACTCCAGCTCCCATCAGCCCCAGCCAGCACGTCTAGTGGTCAGGGGTGATGGGAGTTGGAAACAGAGCAACGTCTCAAGGGTCACAGCTTCCCCCTCCCCTGGTCTAGCTGGTACAAAGTCCAGTAAGGCCAGTACTGTCCCTCAGCCAGCCAGGCGGCAGTTCCAGTGAGTCCGGAAGACGTGAAATAATAATAATAATAGTAATAATAGTAATAATAATAATTTATTATTTATACCCCGCCCATCTGGCTGAGTTTCCCCAACCACTCTGGGCAGCTCCCAATCAAGTGTTAAAAACAGTACAGCGTTAAATATTAAAAACTTCCCTGAACAGGGCTGCCTTCAGATGTCTTCTGAATGTCAGGTAGTTGTTTATCTCTTTGACATCTGATGGGAGGGCGTTCCACAGGGCGGGCGCCACTGCCGAGAAGGCCCTCTGTCTGGTTCCCTGTAGCCTCACTTCTTGCAATGAGGGAACCGCCAGAAGGCCCTCGGCGCTGGATCTCAGTGTCCGGGCTGAATGATGGGGGTGGAGACGCTCCTTCAGGTAAAGGCCTTCAGTGTTTTGTGATTCCCACAAGCTCACCAGACAGGCCAGAATGAGGAAGCAGAAGAAACTGGGCCATAGCATTAGACCAGGGAGAAGTGGAACCAACCTGTAAAGAAAGCTTGTTGCCGAAAGCAGTCTTAACACCTGGCGCTTGTTTCAGTGCCATGGGGACAGTCGTGCTGGATGGGCAGATCTACGTCTGTGGTGGATACGACGGCACCTCCTCCCTCAACTCCGTGGAGGCCTATTCACCTGAGACAGACAAGTGAGTATATGACATAATAATAATTTATTATTTATACCCCAAGGGACGCGGGTGGCGCTGTGGGTAAAAGCCTCAGCGCCTAGGGCTTGCCGATTGAAAGGTCGGCGGTTCGAATCCCCGCGGTGGGGTGCGCTCCCGTTGCTCGGTCCCAGCGCCTGCCAACCTAGCAGTTCGAAAGCACCTTTGGGTGCAAGTAGATATATAGGGACCGCTTATACCAGCGGGAAGGTAAACGGCGTTTCCGTGTGCTGCGCTGGCTCGCCAGATGCAGCTTTGTCACGCTGGCCACGTGACCCGGAATTGTCTGCGGACAGCGCTGGCCCCCGGCCTCTTAAGTGAGATGGGCGCACAACCCTAGAGTCTGTCAAGACTGGCCCGTATGGGCAGGGGTACCTTTACCTTTTATTTATACCCCACCCATCTGGCTGGGTTTCTGCAGCCACTCTGGACAGCTCCTGACAGAATATTAAAAACACAATAAAACATCAGACATTAAAAAGTTCCCTAAATAGGGCTGCCTTCAGATGTCTTCTAAAAATCAAAACAAAATAAAAAAATTCCTTCCAGCAGCACCTTAGAGACCAACTAAGTTTGTTATTGGTATGAGTTTTCGTGTGCATGCACACTTCTTCAGATACCTTCTTTGTGTGAATGCACATGAAAGCTCATACCAATAACAAACTTAGTTGGTCTCTAAGGTGCTACTGGAAAGAATTTTATTTTGTTTCGACTACGGCAGACCAATACGGCTACCTGCCTGTTTCTAAAAGTCAGATAGTTGTTTATTTCCTTTACATCTGATGGGAGGGCATTCCACAGGGCGGGCGCTACCACCGAGAAGGCCCTCTGCCTGGTTCCCTGTAACCCAGGCATAGGGAAACTCAGCCCTCCAGATGTTTTGGGACTACAACTCCCATCATCCCTAGCTAACAGGACCAGCGGTCAGGGATGATGGGAATTGTAGTCTCAAAACATCTGGGAGGCCGAGTTTGCCTATGCCTGCTGTAACCTCACTTCTCGCAGTGAGGGAACCGCCAGAAGGCCCTTGGAGCTGGACCTCCGTGTCCGGGCAGAACGGTGGGGGTGGAGACGCTCCTTCAGGTATACTGTGGAGTATGTCTGGACATCTCCTCCCTGCCTCTAGTGTCTCAGACGCAAGGTGTGCTTCGAAGCCTTCACCTTAAACTTGGCTGCCACTCAGTTCCTTTCATTTTCTGGTCTCTTGCAAAGGTGGATGGTGGTCACCCCGATGAGTTCGAACCGCAGTGCAGCTGGCGTTACCGTATTCGAAGGCAGGATATTTGTATCTGGCGGGCATGACGGACTGCAGATCTTCAACAGCGTGAGTTTTTTGCTCACTGCACCTCTTACCTTTTTCCCCATTACAGTCACTCTAGCCCAATGGTTGCCATCAATTTGATTTGAATTAATTTTATAATGAAATGATTTTAGAATGTTGTATTATTTTATTGTTGTTATCCTCCCTGAGCCCGGCTTCGGCTGGGGAGGGCGGGATATAAATAAAAAAATTTTATTTTTTTTATTATTATTATTATACCTTGGGTTACAGACACTTCAGGTTGCGTTTTTTTGGGTTACGGACCCGCCGAAACCCGGAAGTACTGGAACGGGTTACTTCCGGGTTTCGGCGGTCGCGCATGCACAGAAGACTAAATCGCGCTTTGCGCATGTGCAGAAGCACCGAATAGCAACCCGTGTGCGCAGATGCGGCGCTGCGGGTTGCAAACATGCCTCCTGCACGGAACATGTTCGCAACCCAAGCATCCACTGTACACTGTTTCTTTCCTGCCTTCTTTTGGGGGCTTGTAGCAGGCTGTGACATCCTCGCTTTCCACCCTTCCGACAGGCCTGTCAGGTAGACCGGGCCGGGCAGTAACTTGATCCCACAACTTTGACCCTGAAACACAACACGTTGGCTGTAGGCTTTGCACAGAGGCTCCAGGGCATGGCTCGGCAAACTAAGGCCCGGGGGGCTGGATCTGGCCCAATTGCCTTCTGGATCCGGCCTACGGATGGTCCGGGAATCACCGCGTGGATTGGCAAGGGGATTCTGATCATTTGGGCTGCGCCATTTCCCCCCACTTCGTCACACATACCACAGCAACGCCTCCTCCCTCCCTCCTCCTGGCTTCTCCCCATCCTGCCTAGAGGAGGAAGGGGGCTGGGCTTTGTTGAGCGCCATTTTAAGCAGCCCCTCTCCGGAGCCAGCCCTTTCGTGCCGCTCATTGTCCCTCCAACACTACCAGCCCCTGCCGCTCGCAAGGCACAGGTAAGCAGCCACCGAGACTCGTCCGGTGCTGTGGAGAAGGGAGGGGTGTCGGTGGGGGATTCCCCCCCCAAAAAAAATATAGTCCGGCCCCCCACAAGGTCTGAGGTACAGTGGACCGGCCCCCTGCGGAAAAAGTTTATACTCGAGTATAAAGCTTATACTCGAATGAGAGTTCTTTCGGGCTGCTTGTTCTTCCTCCTCCGCTGCCACCACCACCAGGTTTGTGGTGTGGTGACCCGGCTTATACTCGAGTCAATAAGTTTTCCCAGGTTTTTTGTGCTAAATTAGGTGCCTCGGCTTATATTCAGAACAGCTTATACTCGAGTATATACGGTACATTCTAAAATCAATTCATTCTAAATCAATTCAGAGTCAAATCAATGGCAACCATTGGGCTAGAGTTCTATGAGGATTACCAAAGGAGGGGGTCAGACTGTGCCCTAGCCTGACTTCCTCGCCCTTTCTTCCAGGTGGAATACTACAACCACCACATGGCTTCCTGGCACAACGTCTCCAGCATGCTCAACAAGCGCTGCCGTCACGGCGCCGCCTCCCTGGGCAGCAAGATGTTCGTCTGCGGCGGCTACGACGGCTCCGGCTTCCTCAGCATCGCCGAAGTCTACAACTCCATGGCGGACCAGTGGTACCTGATCGTCTCCATGAACACCCGGCGCAGCCGCGTCTCCCTGGTGGCGAACTGTGGCCGCCTCTACGCCGTGGGAGGCTACGACGGACAGTCCAACCTGAGCTCCGTAGAAATGTACGACCCGGAAACCAACCGCTGGACGTTCATGGCCCCCATGGTGTGCCACGAGGGAGGGGTTGGGGTGGGCTGCATACCGCTCTTGACTATCTGAGCGGAGGGCGGGAGGTGGCACGAGCCTGCGGCGCCCGAAAGCCAGGACTTCCGGAGCCGGGAGTCTGCAGGGGTGATCTGCAGAGAGACTCGACTTCTACCGGGCGAGGGACATCATTTCCAGGTGCTTGGGCCATCATCGTTTGGGAAGCGCACAAACAGCCCCATGGATCAGGGCCACAGGGCCGTTGAGCGAGGTCCCGCAGTGTCACGAGAGTTTGGAGATTTCAGGCCGTGTGAATGAAGCCTCACCCGCCTCTTCCTCCTGGACTCTGCCAAGCTCCTTCCGTGCCTCCGCTGATGCTGCCTTGGTCCCCTTGTGATTGTGTCGTGGGTGTAAGTCTGCTTAGGTCAGGTGGGCTTTTCCTAGGAGTAATCAGATGCTTCTGTCGTCGTGCCCCTTGAAAGCTGGAAAGGGAGCTCCCTTCTCTTCCAGGGCGAGGACAGTACGTTGGCCAGGATAACACCCACCGTCTTTTATTTCGTGGTCAACACAGAGGTGCAATTATCCCCTCTCCCCAAGGAAAAATGAAGTCATTTCCTGCAGAGAAACACAGTTCAGGAAGGGTCTGCCCCTTCCTACACCTGGCCACTAGGTGGCGCAGATGCACATGCAAAGCTCTGTTTGATGGTTTTGTCTCCGTTTGCTCCAAAGGCAAGGATAGTTCCCCTCTTGCGTTCTAGCTGCGTGCAGAAAGCAAGAAAAGGCTCTCGTGTCTTCAGAAACAAAAAGATAGGGCCACGGGGCAAGGAAGGCTTTGCAGCCTTTTGCCACTGACCCACAGCCCAGGAGAATGCCATTACAGGCTCTGCAGAGCTTTTGGGATGAGGCTTTCATCCCTGAAGTTCCTGGAGAGTTGCACTTTTGCATGCCAGAGCCTGTTGGCCGTGGGAACCATTCAGAGGCAAAGCGTTCAGAGGGAGCGTGTAGCGTAAGGGGCCCCAATCCTGTCTCTGAAGAACTCCGAAACAGCAGATCAGGCTGCGTGTTGTCCGAACAGCAGTAGTTGGCTTGGCATCGTCAACACATCCATACAATTTCCTGGAAACTAGATGTTTCGGCTGAGCACCGTCATGCCCACAAAGTTGTTCCTGTGCCGCTTGCAGTGACCGTTCACATCAAATCAAAATTCTCATCCCCAGATCTGAGGTTTTTCTTTAGACAGGAAATGCTCTTCCACTTAGGGCTATCTTTGGAGACACACAAGCCTTAAGCAAAAAAGAGTATCTGATTTCTGATGGGGAGGAACTGGGACCACGTCCTTTTGTTCTTGGGGTTTTGAGCTCTCAGATGGTGGCAGCTTGTGCCCTGCAGGCTGTCGGGTGTCTGTTTTGATAGCTGTTGTAGGACATCCATTGTCTTGCTCTGGAGAGTGAGAAATAGCAGCTTCTAAGAGTAAACGGGAGGTTTACAGATTTATGAGCGAGGGCCAAAAAGGCCAGGGAGAAACCTGTGAGTTAGGATGAGTATACATACCCAATTCTTACGGGGGCAGCATTTCCTCATGGTGGTCCTTCCTCATCCCACCCCCACCCCCCTTAAAATTATCAGCTGTTTATCAGCACAGGGGCTACTTGGTTTTCAGACCAACACCTTCCTTACTCAAAATCTAGCTTCTACTCTGTCCTCCACCTATGCTAAGCACTATCAGGTTGCCAAATTTCAAGCTGGAAAAAGCTGCGTGTCTTCCCTCTCTCTCTTTCCACCTTTCAAGGAACTGGTAGCATCAAAGCCAAATCGAGGTACTGTCGAATGTGTGTGTGTGTGTGTGTGTGTGTGTGTGTGTGTGTGTGTGTGTTTTCAAAACCACTGTAGTTTAACACAGTGGCAACGAGTCAGCTCTGCTGTTTCCCCTCCATCATTCTTCTGTCTGAACATTACACCGCTCCAGTTTTGCACAAAGATCGAAAGGCCAGTTGGGTCCTCTGAACCCCCCCTTCCCCCCTTAAGTTAAATGGGCTGTGCCCCTATACGTAGGTAGCTTTTAAATACCTGTTAGAGCTGCTTCCATTTTAAAACGACTCCTGCCACCTACATTCCCGTTGGGGCAAGAGAGATTCCGACACCCGACATCTTGAAATGAGACGTTTTCACACAAGTTGCTCAGAGGAACTTAACTCAGTTGCAAGACTTGCGAGCTGAAAATTGCAGAGGGAGCGAGTGTTGAATTAACGTACGCTGGATGCGCTTGGGATTTCCGTAGCCTGTGATTTTGTGCATGCCCTTCATCCATGAACAGTATTGTGAATTTCCATAACTGCCAGGAGAAAACCGATTTCGGGCAAGAAACTCGAAACGACGACGAGAGTCCTGGATCGAGAAGGGGCTTCTGAGCATCCCGGCGAGCCTTTCCGTATAAACGTAACAAGGCCATCCACTTGTGTCAATGTGAAATCATGTACTTTAAAAAAAAAGTGTTGTCCGTTCTTGTGGTGGTTGGTGAAATCCGAGGCAGAGTGAAGGTTAGGTGACGATACCTCCACTCTCCCTAGCCCAAATATATTTAACTTGAAAGAAACTTTATTTCTCGGCTGCTCGGTCATTCTTTCTTGTTTCGTGAATGTGGCTTGCCTTCGGCGTATTTTGCCTGCGTTTTCTCCCTAAGCCAGTTTCCTGAAATCCTTTTGCGGGGTCATTAACATGGGTTCAGACGTCGTAGAAATTACATGGCTATAGATTGCATGGGTGGCGCTGTGGGTTAAACCACAGAGCCTAGGACTTGCAGATCAGAAGGTCGGCGGTTCGAATCCCTGCGACGGGGTGAGCTCCCGTTGCTCGGTCCCTGCTCCTGCCAACCTAGCAGTTCGAAAGCACGCCAATGCAAGTAGATAAATAGGTACCCCTCCGGCGGGAAGGTAAGCGGTGTTTCCGTGTGCAGCTCTGGTTCTCCAGAAGCGGCTTAGTCATGCTGGCCACATGACCCAGAAGCTGTACGCCGGCTCCCTCGGCCAATAAAGCAAGATGAGTGCTGCAACCCCAGAGTCGGCCACGACTGGACCTAATGGTCAGGGGTCCCTTTACCTTTACCTTTAGATTGCACACTCGTTTTTCCATAACTCCAGGTAAATGAACATTCAGGGCCCTAGTGTACATTCTCCTCTAAGTGTGGAAGTTCCTCTGCATGGCACAGCTGTTTCCCCACCTGGTCCAAACTAGGCCTCATCACTGCCCTTGTCCATGTTCCCACCACCACCACCTTGTCCAGTGACTCTCATTTCTGTTTTGAGCATTCACTCCCCGGTGTGGGGTCTTCAGTTCCCTGGACCAGAGCACGCCAGGCACTCCTGTCTTCCACTGCCTCCCGCAGTTTGGTCAAACTCATGCTGGTAGCTTCGAGAACACTGTCCACCCATCTCGTCCTCTGTCGTCCCCTTCTCCTTCTGCCCTCCATCTTTCCCAACATCAGGGTCTTTTCCAGGGAGTCTTCTCTTCTCATGAGGTGGCCAAAATATTGGAGTCTCAGCTTCAGGATCTGTCCTCTTCCAGTGAGCACTCCGGGCTGATTTCCTTCAGAATGGATCGGTTTGATCTTCTGGCAGTCCATGGGACTCTCAAGAGTCTCCTCCAGCACCAGAATTCAAAAGCATCAATTCTTCGGCAATCAGCCTTCTTTATGGTCCAGCTCTCACTTCCATACATCACTACTGTGGAAACCATGGCTTGAACTATATGGACCCTTGTTGGCAAGGTGCTGTCTCTGCTTTTTTAGATGCTGTCTAGGGTTGTCATTCTATGTACCACAGTACATAGAATCATGGAATTATAGAGTTGGAAGCTTGACCCCCCCCCCGAAATCTTCTTGCCAACGTGGAACTCGAACCCAGAACCCTGAGGTCCATTGAATGCATTGAAGTGCTTGCTGCCGAAGCAGGGAAACTTGAGTGGGGGAATAAAATCTGGTCAGAGCCCGGGTGGGGAAAGCACCAGGTGAGCCAAAGGTTCAAGGGATGGAATAGGCATGTTGACATTTTTTTAAGAGTTTCCCAAGAGAATTCCTCAAAAGCAGGAATGCAACCCCACTTTCTGCTGGAAGAAGATTTCCACAGCAAGGAACCATCGGCGTTAAACGCCTTGACTTCTAGCCAGAACCAGTTTGGCTTCCTGGAAATAAATGCACGGGAACTATTTTGTCAAAATGCCTTTGCCAGCAGTTCTGTGCACATGTTTGCAATGGATTAGTGCCAGAGAATGTCCTTTGCAAAGAAAAGGAGGGCAGGTCTTGCCTCGAGAGGCTTACAGTCCAGAAAGAAAAGGACCGCGGAGGCAACGGAGAATATCTGGAGGTGGAGCCGGGAGCAGGTCAGCAAGAACCCACACGGTGTCAGAGAAATTAACTCTCAGAGAAACAGGACAGCTCAGGGGCACAGCGACTCTTCCCGGTTGATCTTGCCCCTGTGAGGCAGTTGGGGGACGACGACTGAAGGTGGGCCTTTGGCCTGATCCTGCACTCAGGCTCTCCTTTATTCCCATGCACAGTCCCAGTCCAGGGCAGCTACTCTCTGCTAGTTTTTTTTAAAAAAAATAAAAATAAAGGCTACGCAGGGAGAAATCACACTGCCAATGTCAGCCTCTAGTCTGGCCCTAAGTTCTCTTGAAGTAAATGATGATGATGATGATGATGATGATGATGAAAGCTGGACCATGAAGAAGGCTGATTGCCGAAGAATTGATGCTTTTGAATTCTGGTGCTGGAGGAGACTCTTGAGAGTCCCATGGACTGCAAGAAGATCAAACCTCTCCATTCTGACGGAAATCAGCCCTGAGTGCTCACTGGAAGGACAGATCCTGAAGCTGAGGCTCCAATACTTTGGCCACCTCATGAGAAGAGAAGACTCTCCGGAAAAGATCCTGATGTTGGGAAAGATGGGAGAGCACAAAGAGAAGGGGACAACAGAGGACGAGATGGCTGGACAGTGTTCTTGAAGCTACCAGCATGAGTTTGACCAAACTGCGGGAGGCAGTGGAAGACAGGAGTGCCTGGCGTGCTCTGGTCCAGGGGGCCACGAAGAGGCGGACACGACTAAACGACTAAACAACAACAACAATAATAATGATAATAATTCCTTCCCCTCAATTCCTTCGTCCAAGTCATTTATAAAGACATTGGGCCCAGGATAGAACCCTACAGCACCTGACTTGTCACTTTCCCCCAGGATGACGAGGAACCATAAATGAATAGATTTTGGGCTTGGTCAGCCAAGTGGCTACAAATCCACCTAACCTCATCATCCAGCCCACATTTTACTACCTTCCATGGGTGTGGGCAGGGGGGGCTAATGTCCTGTCTTTGGGGTATTATTCTTACCTGCAATTTCCCAAGAAAAGCTCAACAACTTTGGCTGCCCCCCACCCTAACAAAAATCCTGGCTATGTTCATGTCACCTTCGCTACAAGAATATAATGGGGGACTTTGTCAAAGGCCTTCCTGAAATCAAGGTACGCTACACAGCATCCCCCTGATCCACCAAGCTTGTAATTCCATTAAAAGGGGGGGGGAGTGAGATTAATCTGGCATGACTTGTCTGGGATTGCTCTGTCTGTAATAATAATAATAATAATAATAATAATAATAATAATAATAATAATAATAATAATTATTTATTTATTTATTTATTTGTACCCCGCCCATCTGGCTGGGTTTCCCCAGCCACTCTGGGCAGCTTCCAACAAAGGTTAAAAATACATTAAAATGTCACACATTAAAAACTTCCCCGAACTACAACATGGCTCTTTAAATTGATGTTTCTTTCTCTTCCCCCCCCCCAATGGTGAGTAAAAACTGAGGGGTGCCAAGGGGGCAGGGGGTAAACCAACTGGTGTGGCTTGATTATTTTCTTTCATGTTTTATTTAACGGCAGAGAGGAAATACCACGTGTTTTCTCTCCTTGCGTGAACTCTGCAGACTTTGATCTTGTGTGTTTCGGCTCTTAGGTTTGTTTGCTTTTGTAGGAAAAGGCCTTGAAATTCTGCCCAGGCTTTTCCAAAGAGAGGAGCGCAGATACTCCTTTGAGGCTGACCTCCCAATTTTGGAATTTGTCTTGCAGAAGAAAGGAAGAACAGGACCTTGTTGTAAACAAAATCTGCCCAATCTGCCCTTTTCCCCTTATTAGGTATTCAAGAGCCCATATACCTTACGTAGGTTCCCTATTGGTAGAAGAAAATAACAAAGGCCAGCCAGAGAATATTGAGAAGCAAAGCAGCTTGTAAGCCTGATCTTTATTGATCTGTTGCAACAGGGTGCTCCCCTCACACGCAGGAAAGGAGGAGGAACCACAAACAAAGGTTTGCCCGTCCTTATATAGACATTTTAAATTGCCTGCCCTGGAGTCCAGGACCACACCCAGACACATCATACCTACATAACAGAAAGGGCGGTCTACAGCAGAAATCTGAGTGCGTTGTTTATCTCCTGTCTGGCAGGTTACCTGATAATGCTTACTTGATTGGATACCCTGGGGAGCCTGGCCAGTCTTTTGTAATGATAAATACTTAGTTCCTGAGCCAGGTCACAGGCTCACACCCTATTCATATCTTAAATGTGCCCTTAAGACAGGATTTGTGAAGGAAAAGACAATGGGGAGGCTTTTCCATTTTCCTTCGACCTTGCAGAGAAAACATTTGGTCAGTTTGGGAATCAAAAATGGTGTCAGGTCGGTCTTCCTGTGCTGATCTATGTACGTGCTTGGTTGGTACATTTATGAACATTTAATATATATCTAAGACCTTAAAATTCTTATCACAACCTTCAGCTTTATCAGAGAGACCTCAATGCATCTAGGAGTGCTCTGCATCCATTCATGTCTCCTAAATGTCTTTTCTCCTGGAAGTTTTTCACAGAATCACAGACTTGTAGAGTTGGAAGGACAGGGAGAATCATTGATTCCCACCCCCTGCAATGCAGGAATCTTCCATCCGATGTGGGGGGTCAAACCCACAACCCTGAGATTAAGAGTCTCATGCTCTGCCGAGCTATTCTTATCGCTACATAAATATTACAGCACACTCGCAACTCTCTGGGAATTTCCAGGAACCCCAGGGGGCTCACATAAAAATCAGTTTTGTTTCTGACAGAGTCGCCGGAGGCTTGCTGGCATCTGAAATATTTTTGTGTGTTTACAAATATACCCATTGTGGATAACCATGGTCTGGTGGGGGGTCCTGAATCGGTCAGGGGTTCGGAAATTCCCATGATCACCAAAAGCTATTGAAAGAAACATAAAGACGGATGTTAACAAATTGTGGATAGTACTAAACATCTTAAAAAGCAGAGACATCACCTTGCCAACAAACGTCCGTATAGTTCAAGCTATGGTTTTCCCAGTAGTGATGTATGGAAGTGAGAGCTGGACCATAAAGAAGGCTGATTGCCAAAGAATCGATGCTTTTGAATTCTGGTGCTGGAGGAGACTCTTGAGAGTCCCATGGACTGCCAGAAGATCCAACCTCTCCATTCTGAAGGAAATCAGCCCTGAGTGCTCACCGCCGACCTTCTGATCGGCAAGTCCTAGGCTCTGTGGTTTAACCCACAGCGCCACCTGCATCCCCATTAAACTGCCTATAAAACATTTTTTTCAAATAAGGAGGTAACCTGTGGCCAGCCGGCCCCCTGGCACGCCCATGCCAGCCTGTTTCCTGCTTGCTGCATTAGATGCCCAAGTGGTTATTTATTGGCCCACCAAGTGGTGGGGGATGCGGGTGGCGCTGTGGGTTAAACCACAGAAGGTCGGCGGCTCGAATCCCGCGACGGAGTGAGCCCCTGTTGCTCGGTCCCTGCTCCTGCCAACTTAGCAGTTTGAAAGCACAAAGTGCAAGTAGATAAATAGGTACCACTCCGGCAGGAAGGTAAACAGCGTTTCCGTGTGCTGCTCTGGTTCGCCAGAAGCGGCTCAGTCATGCTGGCCACATGACCCGGAAGCTGTACTCCAGCTCCCTCGGCCAATAAAGCGAGATGAGCGTCACAACCCCAGAGTCGGCCATGACTGGACCTAATGGTCAGGGGTCCCTTTACCTTTACCTTTACCAAGATGTGGGGCCCTGGACACCAGCTCTGAGCTCCACCCCAAGTTTCCTGCTTTGTTTGGGATCTTTTGGAAGCCTGCAGCTGAGCGAGGAAGGGAACAGATTCCCTGAAAGTGGTGCCCTATATCATTATTAATTTTGGGGTACCCTATTTATCCCTTTCCAAGAAATTGGCTCGAAGAGCAGAAGGAAGCTGTCTCCCTGCTTTGTCTTGTATCTGCTCCTATAGAAACTGAAAGCCTTGCATGTTATCCTAGCTTAGCGACGCACGTTCCCAAGTGGATTCACTGTTTAGGTTTTAGGAGGATGTGGGTGGCTGGAGTTTTTTGCCAAGTGGATTGAGCAAGTTCACGTCCTCCCACAGTTTGGCTTTTGATCTGGAGCTTCTATCTCTGTCCGGAGACTAGAGAGCAGGGCAGCAGAATTCTCTTGCTCAGACAGGACAGAGGATCAGCTATGGCGCTCCTCCTGGTAGGGGCGATTTTGGGGGCCCTGGGAGTCTCCGCAGCAACACTCCCGGGCTCAGAATCCCCCCCGGCACTGCTCCCCCGGAACGTAGCCAGGATGGCCGTCGAAGAATACAACCAGGAATCGGGTGGGCAAGCCGTTTTCAGGCTGTGGAAGATCAGAAGCACGCGCAAAACAGTAAGTATGGCAGGGGTTCGATTCCCTGAAACGTCCTCCTGTTCAGGGATGGGCAGATCTGTCACTTTCAGTTTATTTTCATTGCTCATCTTTCCTTTTTAAAAATATAATAATATTTTTTGGGGGAAATTTTATTTACAACATAACAAAAAAAACCCACGCACCCCAATACAGAAATACAATAAGCATAACATAGGTAAAGGTAAAGGTACCCCTGCCCGTACGGGCCAGTCTTGACAGACTCTGGGGTTGTGCGCCCATCTCACTCAAGAGGCCGGGGGCCAGCGCTGTCCGGAGACACTTCCGGGTCACGTGGCCAGCGTGACAAGCTGCATCTGGCGAGCCAGCGCAGCACACGGAACGCCGTTTACCTTCCCGCTGGTAAGTGGTCCCTATTTATCTACTTGCACCCGGGGGTGCTTTCGAACTGCTAGGTTGGCAGGCGCTGGGACCGAACAACAGGAGCGCACCCCGCCGTGGGGATTCGAACCGCCGACCTTTTGATCGGCAAGCCCTAGGCGCTGAGGCTTTTACCCACAGCGCCACCCACGTCCATACAACAATACAAGCATAACATACAACAATACAAACAACCAAATAAAAGACTTCCTTTATCCTGATTCTGGCCTCCTTATTTACTTCTTATAAGCTGTTTCCTTTATGAATAATTATTAAGATTTTTCTAATTATAACTTAAATATCCAGAAAGTCTCCTGCAGACATTAATCGAAACAAGTCCAGGTTTGTATTTTAGGGCACTGTTTTGTGAAGGATTTTCTGCGTTTTCCCCATGCTTTTTCGAAACTCTTGTCTAGTGTGATCTCTAATTGCTTCTGATAATTTAGCCAGTTCAATAATCTCTAACAGTTTGTCTTGCCATTCCATTTTTGTTGGCACAATTTCTTTCCCCCCAGTTTTTAGCAATTAGGATCCTTGCCGCTTCTGTGGCATAGAGGAATATTTTCTGATCTTCTCTTGCTATACCTGTGTCCGTTATCCCTAGTAGAAAAGCTTCTGTATTTTTCAAGCTCATCATATACTATATTCCAGAAGCTTTTGATTTTTTCACAGGTCCACCAAACATGTATAAGTGTCCCCTCTGTTTTACCACACCTCCAGCACAGATTTGTTTTTGTCTTATACATTTTAGCTATTTTGGTAGGTGTTAAGTACCATCTATAAAACATCTTGATTAGATTTTCCCTCAATACTTCACAGGCTGTAAATTTCCAGTTCTTTCTCCATAGTTCTTCCCATGCTCATACCTTCAGTGCCCCAGATGAAAGTTCAGCACTTTAGTGCCAATCTTTCCTTATTTGCACATTTCCTCTGTTTCTCATTCTTCCAGTCTTAATTTCGGTTATCCATTTTTTGCAATAATAATAATAATAATCCCTGAAATTTTATCGTCACTTTAGTGCAAACCTCTCCCAACAAAGCATATTTTGCAAAGCAATTTCCTGCCTTTACAACAGAAAGTGCAAGGGACAACATGCAAGCTTGTCTTTCTAAAGAACTTTTGACATGGATGTTAGGATCCCAGCAAGGGAAAAACTGGTGGGGGGGGTATACATTTGTCTTTGTGCTATAAGAACTTGTAGACTTTGGCTTTTGCGGAAACAGTAACACATAAACAGTGCGTTTCCAGAGGGATGGAGGGTCGAAAAAGCTTTTATGTCATCAGGTGGGATTTTATTTCCTCTGTTCCACGGCATCATCCATGTCAGCTCAGGGAATATGGATGCCTTGATTTCTTTTGGTGTGTCACGATTTCTTCCTCTTATTACTTACTGTTTGTTTGCTTTGCATCTGGCGTGGTGTAATGTCCTGCTACTACAACTTTGTGTTGTTAGTAATGTTAGTAATAGAATCCTAGAACAGCCATCTAGCCCAGCCCCCTGGGATGTAGGAACTCCTGATTATGTCGCAAGGGAAAAAAATTGTTTAAAAAGGAAGAGGAGTTCAGGGGAAGGGTTTTTTTTTGGGGGGGGGGGTTAAGGACAGGAACCAAAAAGCTAATGCACATTAATGGTTTCAAATGCAGTGGGAAGGGGCAATGACCTCATTGCATTTTAAGCCGCTAATCTGAACATACCTTTAAATTCAAACAGATTTTCTAATCCTATGAGACTTTCTTTGGATAAATAGAATGATACTTGGAATGTGGGACGCGGGTGGTGCTGTGGGTTAAACCACAGAGCCTAGGACTTGCTGATCCGAAGGTCAGCGGTTCGAATCCCCGCAACGGGGTGAGCTCCCATTGCTCGGTCCCTGCTCCTGCCAACCTAGCAGTTTGACAGCACATCAAAGTGTAAGTAGATAAATAAGTACCACTCCGGCGGGAAGGTAAACGGCATTTCCGTGTGCTGCTCTGGTTCGCCTTTAAATTCAAACAGATTTTCTAATCCTATGAGGCCCTGATAAATCTGTTAAGTGTTCACATCGCCGCATATCTTTTCCTGCCTTCGCTTTTAAACAGCCCCCCCTTAAACTCTCTGTAACTCCATACGAAGAGCAGCAACTGAATTCCTGTTAACGCTTTGTTTATGCTGCTTTTATCAAAAATGCAACCATTTCCCTGGCGCTCCAGCGACTCACTGGCTCGCTCATTCCCTATTGCCAAAAACTTACGGGGAGATTCTGGAGGAAGACTGCCTGGGGCCCAACTGAGGGAAGAAGTCCTTTTCTTGTTCATCTTATGCATCAACAAGAAAATGCTTCTGAACTTTTCCTGCATCCTTCCAAAAAGATAGAGGGAAAGACTGTAGATTGCAAGCGCCTTGAAGGCAGAGACCTGCCTCTCTGTCAGGAGCGAGCCAGCAATAAATCACACACAGAAAGTGGAGTTAACTCTTTATTAGAAGAAACAGGATCTGCTCAGGAGTGCCGGGCCTAATGTTGTAAACAAAATCTGCCCTTTTCCCTTATGGGGTATCCAAGAGCCCGTATAGAGTCCATACGTAGGTTCTCTATTGGTAGGAGAAAATAACAGAGGCCAATCAGAGAATACTGAGAAGCAAAGCAGCTTGTAAGCCTGATCTTTATTGATCTGTTGCAACAGGGTGCTTGCCTCACACGCAGGAAAGGAGGAGGAACTCAAAATAATGGTGTACAAGGCCTTATATAGACATTTTAAATTCCCTCCCCTGGAGCTCAAGACCACCCCTCCATACATCATACATACATCACAGAAGGGGTGTAACCTAAGACCACCCCCCAGATACATCATACCTACATCACAGAAAAGGCGGTCTAAAACAGAAATCTGAGTGACTTGTCATCTGACAGGTTACCTGTTTAATGGTCACTTGATTGGATTGCCTGCTTACTTGATTGGATACCCTGGGGAGCCTGGCCCGTCTTTTGTAATGATAAATACTTAGTAACGATAAATACTTAGTTCCTGAGCCAGGTCACAGGCTCACCCAATTCAAACACAGACATACCCTTAAGACAGGATTTGTGAAGGAAAAGGCAATGGGGAGGCTTTTCCATTTTCCTTTGACCTTGCAGAGAAAACATTTGCTCAGTTTGGGAATCAAAATGGTTCCAGGTCGGTCTTCCTGTGCTGATCTATGTATGTGCTTGGTTGGTACACTTATGAACATTTAACATATATCTAAGACCTCAAAATTCCTATCACACTAATGAGCATAGCAAATTTTCATCGGCAGGTCTTGCCCCTATGAGGCAGTTGTGGAGACAGAAAGTCCCTGCCTTTCCACTGCTGCCTAAGTCTTCTCCTTTCCCGGGTCTTCTGCGAGCAATCTGAGACTATGCCGGCATGCTTCTCTTTGCATCTTCTTCTTCATGCCTCTCCTGGTTCTGGGAGGCCAAGGAGGAGGGGAGTTTGTCACAGAAGGATGGAGAGACCCGCTTGCTTCTTCACCAGCGAGACTCCTCTTCTGCCTTAGCTTTTGCACTGCTCTCTGCCACAGAGATGTATGGTAGTGATGTATGGAAGTGAGAGCTGGACCATAAAGAAGGCTGATCGCCAAAGAATGGATGCTTTTGGATTCTGGTGCTGGAGGAGACACTTGAGAGTCCCATGGACTGCAAGAAGATCGAACCTCTCCATTCTGAAGGAAATCAGCCCTGAGTGCTCACTGGATGGACAGATCCTGAAGCTGAGGCTCCAAGACTTTGGCCACCTCATGAGAAGAGAAGAATCCCTGGGAAAGACTCTGATGTTGGGAAAGATGGGAGGGCACAAGGAGAAGGGGACGAACAGAGGATGAGATGGCTGGACACTGTTCTCGAAGCTACCAGCATGAGTTCGACCAAACTGCGGGAGGCAGTGGAAGACGGGAGTGCCTGGCGTGCTCTGGTCCAGGGGGTCACGAAGAGTTGGACACGACTAAATAACTAAACAACAACTGCCACAAACTCTTCGTGCTCACTAAAGCCTTCTCCCTCTGACCCCTCATCGTCGCTGCACTGCCACTGCCCGGGCTCTGAGCCTTCTGTGGCAATCACACAGGGTCCCCGGACGTTTCATCGTCTATTGATACCTGTGCCACCACTTGATTTCTCGCTGCCCCCCCAGGCCCTACCTGGGACAATACTGAGTCCAGTCAGGGTTAAACTGGAACATAAACTTCTGTTTATTTATTGCAGTTTAACAAGCGTGTGGTTTCCTAAACGGTATCGGTCAATTACAATCATGGGGTGCCTATCCAGATCTATAACTTCCGCTACCTGCTCTCACTCACTAAACCACCTCTCAGATATTTGTTGTTGTTGTTGAGTCGATTAGTCGTATCCGCCTCTTCGTGACCCCCTGGACCAGAGCACGCCAGGCCCTCCTGTCTTCCACTGCCTCCCGCAGTTTGGTCAAACTCAGGCTGGTAGCTTCGAGAACACTGTCCCACCATCTTGTCCTCTGTCGTCCCCTTCTCCTGGTGCCCTCCATCTTTCCCAACATCAGGGTCTTTTCCAGGGAGTCTTCTCTTCTCATGAGGTGGCCAAAGTATTGGAGCCTCAGCTTCAGGATCTGTCCTTCCAGTGAGCACTCAGGGCTGATTTCCTTAAGAATGGAGAGTTTGATCTTCTTGCAGTCCATGGGACTCTCAAGAGTCTCCTCCAGCACCAGAATTCAAAAGCATCCATTCTTCGGCTTGTCTTCCTAGCTCCTAACTGTTCCTGACTCAGATTATTTTGCTACACTAACTCAACCTCCCCACAGATTCTATTCCAATTCACTCCCACTCCAACCAACCACCCAACTCCCAACGAACTCCCAGAGCTGCTTTTATAGTCCCTCTGACTCCACCCCCCTGGGTTCTGATTGGGTAACCTGTTTAACTATTTCACCTCCAGCACTCTCATATGTTAACGTCACACCTTCTTCCCTTGGGGGTCCCCCAGCTGGTTCCTGTCACTCAGGGGTGCCAACTTGAATAAAATATTGGGGGGAGGGTCAGGTAAGCCTCAATCACATGGCGTGGCATGCGCACACTCCTTGAATGGCAATGTCCATCAACTTTGGGGGGAGCCCAGCCCCCTCAAATATATTATTGGGGGGCCCCAGTCTGGTGGAAAGCTGTGTCCCAAGAGACTAGGGCCCTGCAGGATTTGGCATCTTTCCGCAGGGCCTGCAAGACGGAGCTGTTCTGCCTGGCCTTTGATCGGGGTTCAGTCTGACCCCCTTCTTTCTATGGGACCCTGTATGTAACCGGCCTCCTTGGCTCTTTGTATCGGCCCATATAGGACCAGCACGGGTGGCCGGGCCTGGTGAACTTTTAATTCCTTGCCCCTGCTGTTATGATTTGTGGGTTCCCATTTAGTTTTATTTTGATTTTGAATGTGATTCGAATTGTATTTTAAACTAATTGTTTGATTTTGTGTTTTTAATGTTTTATATATTTGGTGTTAGCTGCCCTGAGGGCAGGGTATAAAATTTTATTATTATTATTTAAAAATATTAGTTTTTTAACATACCATTTACAGCAATAATTAAACATACTTTTACATCTTATTCAATTATTTTTTTTACTTCCATCAGTCCTGTCTGAAAATTTTCCAATCTAATCTCTCAGTATGCATTTCTTATTTCCCCTATTACATTTCAAATTCAAAACCAATATCTCTATCTTTTTTCTACTTTGTAACACTTTGTATATTTCTCCTTACAAAACTTCTTGCAGTCCTACTAGCGTAATTTGTCGATTACAGTTGCTCTTCAAATAATTCATATACTTCTTCCAATCTTCTGTAAATCTCTGGCCCCGCAGGTTTCGAATCCTTCCTGTCATTTTGTCCAATTCTGCGTAGTCCATTAATTTCGTCTGCCATTCTTCTTTCATCAGAATTTCTTCTTGCTTCCAATTAATTAATTAATTGATTGATTGATTGATTATTCTGCTCCATAGAGATTTGACTGGGGGGTTCACTTCAGCATGGACTTCACCATCAAGGAGACCCTCTGTCAGAAAACGGGCAAGTACAGGATTGGAGACTGCAAATACAAACCGAATGGGGTGAGTGACAGGCTTGGCCTCTGGTTCGAATACCTGGTGCATGTCGTCCTGCCTCCAGATGCTGCTGTTGTCGCTAAACTATAACTCCCATTGTCCCTATTGGCCACATTTGCCAGGGCTGATGGGAGTTGGAGTCCAACAGCTAGCTCCGCCTCTGGGTCCCCCTCCTTGGTCTAGAACATGTGGGAATGTTCAGGGATGCAGGAGAGGATATATTGTCTGATTATATCCCTATCCAACTTGTGTTAACAAGTTCCACAATATCAGCAGAGTAACATTCCCCTTTATTTGAAGTTTGCAACATCTGTGTTTGCTCAGGCTCACTAAAGCCTCTATAATAACTGTTCTGGTATTTCCCCTTGTTCCTTCATAAAATATAAGAGATGACACAGTCTTTTACATGCTTTTCAACATCTTTATGCGCCCCCTCGCCCAGCTTGTTCGGAGTTTTGGGCTGGGTTGCCATCAGTATGCCGATGACACCCAACTCTATCTGTTGATGGATGGCCATCCTGACTCGGCCCAAGACACACTGACCAGATGTTTGGAAGCTGTGGCTGGATGGTTACGTGGGAGCCGGTTGAAGCTAAATCCTTCGAAGACAGAGGTCCTGTGGCTGGGACGGGACGATATGGGATTGGGGGGCAAGACAGAGCTGTTCCACCAGGCCTTTGGCAAGGGCACAGCCTGACTCCCTCCTTCGGCAATCTTCGCGGAGCTCTGGCCCAATGGCTGCCAGTGGCTTGAATTAATTAATTTTATAATGAATGATTTTAGAATGTTGTTTATGCTGTACTTTTGTACTGTTTTATTGTTGTTAGCCGCCCTGAGCCCAGCTCCGGCTGGGGAGGGCGGGATATAAATAAAATTTATTATTATTATTATTATTATTACAAAAGTATAAAAAGAGTTTACTCACATTCTGTTCACAATCAGATCCCAGAAGGCAGACTTAGCTTAATGAAGTAACATACACTTGGAATCTATCTCTTAAGAAGACAGTCCCTTTTTCCTCTCTTAGCTGGAGGCCAAGAGGGCATCTTTCGCTCAGTAGATGTTGTGTCTTCGATGCATGTGATGAAAGAGAGAGAGATGGCTGCCCTGCCCTGTGCTTTTGTCATTACCTGCACAGGTGAGGCCACACCCACCTTTAGTCACATGCAGAGGAAGTCTGTCCCAGCCCAGAAGGAAACAGGAAGTTTACCTGCTGGCTGGACAAACATCCCTCCCCATGTGTAAACATGTTCCCTCTAGGAATGTTGTACTTGACTGCTCTTGTGTTTCACATCCCACAGAACAGGCACGTCCAACAGGTAGATTGTGATCTACCGGTAGATCACTGGACGTTTGTGGCAGATCACCAGTAGATCACAGTCTCCCCCCCAAAAAAAGCTCCCCTTAAAAAAGCTCAAGAACTTTGACCTGAACACCCCCAAAATGGGGCTTTCCTCATCCCTAAAAAAAATCTCAAGAACTTTGACCTGAACCCCCCAAAAGGGGGGTAGATCACTGCCAGTTTTTAACTCTGTGAGTAGATCGCAGTCTCTTGGGAGTTGGCCACCCCTGGTATAGAAGCTCAGGATGAATCCTAGGAATGCTGACCCATTTTCCCCCTCCCCAGACCGCCAGGGATTGTTCTGCCGAGGTCTCAGTTCATAACTTCATGCAAGAATCACCGCTGACGTCTGTGAATTGCCACCCGTTGCAGGTGAGCTGTTTGCCGGCTGAATTGGGACCATAAATGGGGTTACTGGGAGTGCGAGGCTAATTTAGGATTGCCATATGTCTGGAATCTTTCTTTCTTTCTTTCTTTCTTTCTTTCTTTCTTTCTTTCTTTCTTTCTTTCTTTCTTTCTTCTGCCCTTCATCCAAAGATCTCAGGGGGTGGTTCACAACATACAGACCCTCCAAGTGCCCCTATTTTCCAGGAACAGTCCAGGATTTACAGAAGCCCAGTCCCAGTTTCTGAGTTGATCCCGGAATGTCCCTCTTTCCCTTAGGACATCCCTATTTTCCTTGGAGAAATGCTGGAGGGTTTGAACATATTGGATGTTTCGATTCAATCCCTGTGCTGCCTGTTTTGTTTGTGTTGTTTATCGCCGAACGGAAGTGGAAGAAGATCTCTGCTGACTCTTCCTCTCGTTCTTCCTTTGCAGGCAAACAACCCCAACAGCAGGAACGCCAGACCCCAAGCAATGGAGGCCACCCAGCCCAGAATATTTGTGGAGCAGTATTTCCCATCTTCCTTTTCTACTGCAGCTCTGACAGCCCCCGAAGAGTAGAAACACCCCTTTGCCCTCATCCACCAAGCTGAGCATCCCTCTCGGAGTTGGGACCTTTCCGAAATTGCTTTGATCCCATGGACATTTGATTTTCCGAACTCATTCGGCTGGTAGAATACTACTGTAGACTCGTGCTATCCAAATATTGTTAGAATTCTAGGATGCCGCTGAGATTTCTGTGTGTTTTAAATGCAGTGGTACCTTGGGTTAAATACTTAATTCGTTCCAGAGGTCCGTTCTTAACCTGAAACTGATCTTAACCTGAAGCATCACTTGAGCTAATGGGGCCTCCCGCTGCCACCGCACCACCAGAGCACGATTTCTGTTCTCATCCTGAAGCACAGTTCTTAACCCGAGGTACTCTTTCTGGGTTAGCAGAGTCTGTAACCTGAAGCGTCTGTAACCCGAGGTACCACTGTGTTGCCTGTTAGCAACATACAAATGGACCGCTTATAGACGCAGACTTTCTTTGGATAAATAGAATGATACTTGGAATGTGGGACGCGGGTGGCGCTGTGGGTTAAACCACAGAGCCTAGGGCTTGCCGATCAGAAGGTCGGCGGTTCAAAACCCCACGATGGGGTGAGCTCCCGTTGTTCGGTCCCTGCTCCTGCCAACCTAGCAGTTTGAAAGCATGTCAAAGTGCAAGTAGATAAATAGGTACCGCTCCGGCGGGAAGGTCAACGGCATTTCCGTGCGCTGCTCTGGTTCGCCAGAAGCGGCTTAGTCATGCTGGCCACATGACCCAGAAGCTGTACGCCGGCTCCCTCGGCCAATAAAGCAAGATGAGCGCCGCAACCCCAGAGTCGTCCGCGACTTGACCTAACGGTCAGGGGTCCCTTTACCTTTACCTATTAGCAACGTACAAGCGGACTGCTTATAGACGCAGACTTTCTTTGGATAAATAGAATGACACTTGGAACGACTTTATGCAGAATATATGAGCTTATTGATAAAGGAATTTGTATCAGGATAATACAACTCTCTACATTTGTATACTAACATGTGGAAACGTAACTGAAATTTTTAATTATTTTTATATTCGTTCACTTCCCCCCCCTTCACTGCTTTTTTTTAATAAACGAAATTCTTTTAATAAAATATCAAATAAAAATCTTAAAAATCGTTGATTTTCTAAACTCATTTGGCTGGTGGAATATTACTGTAAACTCGTGCTGTCCAAATATTATTAGTATTCTAGGATGCGACTGAGAGGTTTGTGCGTTTTAAATGTTGCATTTTTCCAACACCACTGAAAAGGTTTGACAGTCATTCTGGTTCTCATAGACCAGCGTTTTTCCAACTTGAATCTCGGGGGTCGTGGCCTGAAATAGCGGCTGCTTTTAATCTTAGTGCAATAAATACTTTTTACAACTTTGGGTTTCATTGGTGTCTTGTAACACTACATCAGCACCTGCAACCGAGCATCAGAAAGGTTCAAATTTTACATTTTAATGTGGTCTCTGGTGGCAGATCCGGTGATGTTTTGCCACAAATTGCCCATAAATTGCTTTGAGTGACGATTACAACTCGGTTTGCAGGCTCCATCAGAGGTTATCTGCAATAGTCAGTCATGGAAACCTTCAATAAAAAGGAATAGTAATAATAAAACACCTTTTGCAACTGTTGCTGTTTAGTCGTTGAGTCGTGTCTGACTCTTCGTGACCCCCTGGACCAGAGCACGCCAGGCACTCCTGTCTTCCACTGCCTCCCGCAGTTTGGTCAAACTCATGCTGGTAGCTTCCAGAACACCGTCCAACCATCTCGTCCTCCGTCGTCCCCTTCTTCTTGTGCCCTCCATCTTTCCCAACATCAGGGTCTTTTCCAGGGAGTCTTCTCTTCTCATGAGGTGGCCAAAGTCTTGGAGCCTCAGCTTCAGGATCTGTCCTTCCAGTGAGCACTCAGGGCTGATTTCCTTCAGAATGGATAGGTTTGATCTTCTTGCAGTCCATGGGACTCTCAAGAGTCTCCCCCAGCACCATAATTCAAAAACATCCATTCTTTGGCGATCAGCGTTCTTTATGGTCCAGCTCTCACTTCCATACATCACGACTGGGAAAAGCAGAGCTTTAACTATACGGACCTTTTGCAACTGTCGTTGTTGTTTAGTTGTTTAGTCGTGTCCGACTCTTCATGACCCCAACTACCTTGTGGCAAACCAACACCAAACCCGTTGCCAGGATTAGTTAATAGTTAATCCAAGGGTTATGTGGTTTGCTTAGTCGAAATAAGAAATAATACCATTGCCCTATGTGTCAATAATGATCCAAGACCGGGTCTGGCAACAAACCAACATTTCATGGAAAATGCAAACTCAGCCATCCCACAGATACTTGCCACAATGGACTTTATCATCAGCGCAATTAAAAAATATCCAGTTATATCTGACATTGCTAAGGTGACCATGTTTTTAGAGCTTGTGAAGCAATATCGTACAACCAGACGGTTGGTGTTCTTGCTGTGAAGAGTTTTGTAAGTACCATAAATACTTTGACAAATTCCACATGACTAGGGAGGCACAGTAAAATTGGCCTGGATTCCTCCGGCGCACTGGTTATAAAATGAGCAAGTCTGTGGTTAAAATGCACACGGTCGACGGGACCCAAAGACCTATGGCAAAAAAAATTCCACATGACAATAAAATGCTGGGTTGAGCCCAAGAAAGATGTTAAATTATTTTTGTATGCCACAACGGCTGCCCGAATATTACTTGCTAAAAATTGGAAAACACAAGAACTACCAACAGTGGAAGATTGGCAGATGAAGATGATGGACTTTTCGGAGCTAGCTGACCTGACTGGAAGAATCCATGACCAGAAAGAAGAGGAATTTCAAGAGGACTGGAGGAAATTCAAGGACTATTTGAATAAATATTGCAATATAAAAAAATTAGAAATTAATAAATAATTATTATTTAATTATTATTAACAATTATTTAATTAATAATTAAATAAATGGGATTTAGAATGTTAAGAAAAGTGAATAAGATGGACTATAATTGGAAATTGTTTTAGTTTAATAATGATATTGGAAAGCTGTTACTTTTAATTACAAGGAAACTCAGAAGGGAGGGATTTGAGGAAGTCAACCAAGATGTTTAAAAGGTTGGATTTGTGAAGAATTAAGTTAGTTGTTATTGTTTATCTGTTTATTGTCGCCCCCCACTTTTTACTATTTTCGTTTTTCTCTTTCTTCTTTTTTCTTTTTCTTTTTCCGTTTTTGTGTATCATCTTGCTTTGTGGTTTGTGTTATCACGGTGGAAAATCTAATAAAATTGTTTTAAAAAAATAATAATAAAATGTTGGGTTGCCACTCCAACTAAATTTGGGCCCGCCTGGAATACAGTGTCCAGTTCTGGGCACCACAATTTAAGAAGGATATTGACAAGCTGGAAGGTGGGCAGAGGAGGGAGACCAGGATGATGAAGGGTCTGGAAACTAAGCCTGATGAGGAACGGTTGAAGGAGTAGGTTTAGCCTGGATAAGAGGAAACTGAGAGGAGATATGATAGCCATCTTCAAATATCTTTTTGATTTTTTTTATTTTCAATGCAAAATTACAACAAAAATTACAAACATTGAATCCAAACAAAACCCAGTATAAACAGTCCCAAAAAAAACCACACAAAAAAGAACACACAAAAACACACATCTACAAATAAAACAATATCATCATTCTAATCTAGTCATTACATACATATTCACATATTGACTTCCTTCCTTTGTTCTAAGACCTCGGAATTTTTACTCTTTCTAAGTTATTGTGTCTAATGTAGATTACTTCTATCTTTATACTTTTTGAACCATTTTTCTCTTTCTTTAACCCTGCAAAGCATCATTCATTACATACCGCTATGCTTACTCCAGAACAATGTTTTTCATATACTCTTTAGCACATCCCCATTCTTTCAATAATTTTTGGTCTGATTGTCCCCTTATGAATGCTGTGAGTCTTGCCAGATTTATATACTAACAAAATTTAATTTGCCATTCTTTCATTGACGGAATTTTTCTCCCTTTCCAATTTTTTGCTATGAGCATCCTGGCAGCTGTTGTCACATAGAGAAATACTTTCCTTTGATTGTCAGGAATATCGTTTGTGATTATACCTAAAAGGAATGCCTCCGGTTTTCTACTAAAAGATGTTTTAAACATCTTTTTGATTTCTTCATATATTTCATTCCAAAATTGTTTAATAGGTCATCTTCAAATACCGTATTTTTTGCTCTATAAGACTCACTTTTTCCCTCCTAAAAAGTAAGGGGAAATGTGTGTGCGTCTTATGGGGCGAATGCAGGCTGCGCAGCTATCCCAGAAGCCAGAACAGCAAGAGGGATTGCTGCTTTCACTGCGCAGAGACCCCTCTTGCTGTTCTGGCTTCTGGGATTCAGAATATTTTTTGTCTTGTTTTGCTCCTCCAAAAACTAGGTGCGTCTTGTGGTCTGGTGCGTCTTATAGAGCGAAAAATGCGGTATCTTAAGGGATGTCACATGGAAGAGGGGACAAGCTTGTTTTCTCCTGTTCCGGAGGGTAGGACTTGAACCCATGGCTTCAAATTACAAGGAAGGAGATTCCGACTCAATGCCAGGAAGAACTTTCTGATAGTAAGAACAGTTCAATAGTGGAACGGACTTCCTCAGGAGGTTGTGAGTTTCCCCCGACATTTCAGCTTACAAGGGCTGAAAACGGGCTGTGTCTGTGAATTTCCGAAAATATTGCAACCCTATTTTTAAGCAGAGGTTGGACGGCCAACTGCCATGGATGCTTTAGATGTGATTCCTCCATTCCAAGGAGGCTGGACTAGATCATAGCTGTCAACTTTTCCCTTTTCTTGCGAGGAATCCTATTCGGAATAAGGGAATTTCCCTTAAAAAAAGCGAAACGTTGACAGCTATGGACTAGATGACTTCCAACTCTCCGATTCTATGATATATATATTCTTTTTTGCAAAAGACAGGCCTGCTCTCGTGAAAATGAGTAGCGAGGAGGAACAGGAGGGTTCAAACATCGCAATAATTTATTCTGAACATATTACAAGCAGGCGGGAAATCGAAGGCAGGATCTGAAAGGCCTGTTCAGCATTCAGCAGAAGAAACTGCTTTGCAGGCAAGCGGCCGGATCCTGCCTTGCGTCGTCCCTAAAGCGGGAAAGTCTTTGTCAGGCTCTGTTAAAATACCCGCAGCAACGATGGCGTCTTCTGCCTTCGGCGGCAACATCCAAATCTTCTCACGCAATCCGTCCACGGTGTCGCCCACCTCCCGCGTGGGC